ACGGCCCGATCTGCTCAGTGTCAGGGTATGTAAAGGGTATTGAGCAATGCATTTACGTCCAGCCTTGGAGTGCCTTGGCCTCTTGAGAACCAGAATAAATCAAAACAAAGAAACCACAAGTAGTCCATCGTGGGGCACCCAGAATGGTGTTGCCAAGGATGCGGACGGGACTTGCGCAGTCAAACCTAGTGGGGCCACTCTGGGAAACTCCAGTCTGGACTTTGCGTTTGGCCTTTGTTTTGTATCCAAAGGACTCAATGACCTCAGCAACACCTTTACCAGAAGTAGTTAACGCAAGGGCAAAAACATCGCTCAAATCCTGACTTTGCGGTTCCTGCCAGCAAGATTAGAAGACACTGAAGGAGGTTTAGGGAAAGATTTTGACACACGCTGAAGCCAAGATGTATTATTGTTCTGTGCAGCCGAAGCGCACACAAGTCAGCACCCCATGTCTCCACCGCCTCCTGGCTGGCTAGCTCAATCTTGACGCAACCATGATACATGTGCGTCGTGCCACTGCCGTGTCGGTAACCCCGATCAGCAGGCCAAGAACCACAAAGCCCACATGGTCACGGCCTGCTGCAGAGGGATCTTCCGGTAGCCAACCAACTGTCAGAGTCTAAGGCGGCTGTGGACCTTGCCGAGGGAGTGCAAGTCGCAGACAAGCAGGCAGGCAGTAGGGACTGGGTGGGCACATGATCACATCAACAGACAATGTTTATTGCAGAAGCGGGCACGAAAGACAACTAAAAGATCAAACAAATGCAGAACTGCAAAGACTATGGAACCAGGCTCGCCAACACGTTCTTGTGTTTTCCCCAAGAGACTTGGCAAAGTTTTAGCATTTGCAAGAGACTTGATCAAGTTTTTGCATATGCAAGAGACATGACCAAGTTTTAGAATTTGCAAGAGACTTGATCAAGTTTTTGCATATGCAAGAGACATGACCCAGCTTTAGCATTTGCAAGAGACTTAGACCAGTTTTGAGCACTTGCGAGAGACTTGACCAAGCTGTTGCACTTGTCCGAGAGATTTGACCAAGTTTTATAGCATTTGCTAGAGATTTGACCAAGTTTTAGCATGTTGCGAGAGACTTGACCAGACACGGATTCGGCGCGGCGGCGCGTCCTTCTCGCAGGATCCGGCCTGTCGAGTGCCCAAGAAATGCGAATTTGACGTGTGCCGGATGAACCCTTTTGCCCTTTTGCAGGATCCGGCCTGCCCAAACGTGTAGCGAGATGCAAATTTGACACATGCTCGGGCGACCCTCTTGCAGGATCCGGCTGGTCGAGCCTTAAATGTAGCGAAATATAGCGAAATGCGAGTTCTGCGGTTGTCGAAATGTCTACCAAAACGCGAATTCTACCCATGCTTGCGCGACCCTCTCGCAGGATCCGGCTCGTGGCCTCAGAGCTGGCAAGCTTATAGTACAAATGTAGTACGGGAAGCAGATGAAGCAGTTTCCGTGTGAGGTGGCCTCAGATGTGGTCTCCGAAGGATCTGGCGTCGCTTAGAGAAGATTTTCGTAGTAGATGTGTAGTACGGGAAGTAGACTCGATCAAATTGTTTAGCATTTGGTCAGTCTAGCTCAGGCTTTGGCACTTGTAAGAATCTGGCACTTACAAGAGACTTGATCAAGGTTTAGCGTTTGCAAAATCTTGCCAAGGCGTTAGCGCTTGTAAGAGTTTTGCTCAAGCTTTAGCACTTGTAAGAACCTAGTACTTGCAAGAGACTTGATCAAGTTTTTCCATGTGCAAGAGACTTGGCCAAGTTTTGACCAAGTTTTTGCATTTGCAAGCGACTTGACTGAGTTTCAGCATTTGCAAGAGACTTGACCAAACTTTACCATCATCGAAAGACTTGTGACCAAGACCAAGCTTTAGCATGCGCGAGAGACTTGACCAAATTGTAGCATGTGCTGGAGACTTGACCAAGCTTGGTCTTGACAGAGTCTAGCGCTTGCAAGAGACTTACTTGATCAAGCCTTAACATGTGCAAAATCTTGCCAAGGTTTTAGCACCTTTTAGGGTTTTTCTCAGGCTTTAGCACTTGTAAGAGCCTAGCACTTGCAAGAGACTTGACAATGCTTTTGCATTTGCAAGAGACTTGACCAAGTTTTAGCATTTGCGAGAGGCTTGGCCAAATTTTAGGATGTGCAGAGATTTGACCAAATTTTAGCATAATCAAGAGACTTGACTTGTGCACGCTTTGCTTAAAATTTTCGGGCCTGCAGGGGTCTAGTTTTGTGGACAACTCGGCTCGAGGATTTGCAAATGCTCAAATGAAATGACAAGAACTGTTGCTCACCATGAGCGGGCATAAAACGGGTTTCAAGAGGTCACTTTAGAACACAATTCAACCTGTCTCAAACCCAGCCCCTTATTGAAGTTAACGGGTTTCAAAACCTTGTTTGTGTGTTTCGGCCTTCTTCATGTACTGGTGCATGTCTGTACAGTGGTTTCTAAAGAACTTGCTGTTTGCATGAGCGGCGCGAACCGCTGAAAGGTACAAAATATATACTAAGATGATTTAAAATGTTCGAAAATGTGGTTGAATGTGTCTCGACGTCCGGATGTGTCGGGGATGTGTCGAGGATGTGTCGTGGATATGCCGGGGATGCATTTTCACACATGGCATGAACGGGTGAACGGACAAAAATGCAAAACAGTAAAGCAAACACAAAAAATGAATTAGTTTGTAGGTAGTTCATAAGTATTTCCTATGTAGTTCATAAGTATGTCGTAAGTATCACGCCCGCCTACAAATAAGTACTTCAATTGTTTATAAACAATTTAATGACTATTTCCCAAGTAATTACACTAAGTCACTAAGTCCCACATCTACTTCTGGAGTTTGGGTTTCACTTGCTGGAACTTATACATATGTGTAAGTAGATGTTACGGTTGTTGTAACAATAGATTCGATATCCGTAACTAGGCCTGAACCACTAAGTGATTTTTCAACCATATGAATTTCGCAGTCTGGGCAGGTTGTTACGTTTGAACGAAGTACATTTTGTAAACTTTCAGAACAAATTTAACGAACTCGAATGTTCAATCAAAACGATGCAAACACATTAGAGGCAATGTTGCCAGAATTTTATTGTGTTTGCAGTGTATCGTCGTTTTAACTCGGGTCTTAAAATATGCTTTACATTGTGCACATGCTTTGAAGACGAGGTTCCTGCTAGTGTTCATTCAAATATCAAAACGTCGAACCGTATCGCGAAAACAACAAGCTGCAATGTGTGTGTTTGTTGTTTTGCGTTTGAAGACCAAATGGTTTTACAATTGTTTTGCTCTACGCAGCTACGCACCCTACCTGCAATTGCATTCCTGCAAGCTGAACACTCCACTACCGCGCACAATAAATTGTTCAAAAATACACATCATCACATAATCATTGGTGACATTTAGGAATTGGTGTTTATATTTGATGCACCGGTATTCAATCATTGTGCTTCTGGGAAAGAACACCCTTTCTTTCAGCTGTTAGTTCTTTCGAAGCATTGAGAGGAGAGAAGAAATCTTCTTTGCGGGCAAACAGGTGTATTGTAAACATTTGGACAAACCTTAGTTTTAACGTGGGTGCACTTGTCAAATTGTTGGCAGATCCATCCAGGACAAGTGGCAATCGCCAGGGCAACGCATTAAGAAGAACCAACCCGAAACGTGTCTCGCATGTTGCATCAAGAGAATCAACATTTTTGGCACAGTCAACACATCTTACAGTGGTAATGGTTTCACTAAAACAACCATTTTCTTTCCAGGAAGAAGGCTTGTGCAAATGTGAAGGTCTTATGATGTCTTATGTGACCAACAATGTGTTGATAAAGAGGGGGAGTCTTCAAATTAGAGCAACCACCAAGTCATGAAACACTAGAGGATGGGACCCTTACAAACAATCACACCTTTACATGTCCCTTTTCTACAAGGCTTGTGAAACGGTTAGTTATATTTGACAAATTCAACTTCATGCATTCACTTTGTCTACAATACCTGTGATCAAACGTCGTTTGCAACATATAGTGAACTCGTTGAAAGATTCAGACCCTTACCCGCTCGTTCTCTTTCATTCATTCAGCAAGCAAGCGTGCACAACCGTATCTTACAGGTTTGGGATTGTAAAGAACAGGCTATCGTCAATTGACTTTGTCTACAATACAATGATAGACCACGACATTCCCCTTCCGGTTCAGAGCCCGGCAACTGTTGAGTCAGGTGGAGGAAATGGTGGAGGCAAAAGAAGAAATCAAAGAAGAAGAGGTCAAAGAAGGGGCCCAACAATGGGAGACAAAGAGTTCTTGGTCCGGATCCGAGTGGAGGCACCCCGGCAGCAGTTGGTATTTCTTGTTTGGTGTTTTATCGCTTGGAATTTGTTGGATGTCGACCCGTGTTTGTCCTTGATTACTTGAGTTTGATGTGTGGTTCATAATTACGAAAGCCAGCCGGTAGGCTAGGCTGAAGTTAGTGCTGCGAACGAAGTTCGTAAGTAGGGGGTGTGGGGGAGAGACGGGCCCAAGTGACTTAAACAACGTAAGCCCGCTGGTGTTTTTGGACTGCCAAGAAGGTGATTTTTGGTGGCCTGGTGATGCAAAAGATGCAAGGTGACCGAGGTTTTGCATCACGTACCCGAGAGTAACATATGGCTAGTCCAAAGGTAGTCTATTGCGTGCCTCGTACCAGGGAGACCATTGCTACTACTTTGTTTGTAGATTTGTATAGAAAACATGTCGTCTAGTAAATCCGACTATATCTTGACACGGATGCAGGGTCGACGCAGCTGGTCCTGCGGTGACCCTACGGTGTTGTGAGGGCAGACAGATGGCATTGCAAGGAGGCGAGCTGACTAGGTAGGGGAAACCGAATGTAGAAACTCCCAACTGCCACAGGGACTGCGTTCCACAAACTCAGCACGGAAGTTCCCGACATTTACAAGCTTCATGTTTACACTTGATCTGGGGCGCGTGGCGTCCTCTCAACTTGGAGCAGTTCATACGTTCCACGACCTACCCGGGCCCTGCCCCCGTAATACCACAATAACTACAACTTGCCCGGGCGGCAGACGGACCACGAAAGTGAACAGCATTTCTTGCATCACGCTATGTTCTTGCATTCTGGTGTTGTGGCCGTTCGTCACGCCCGGTATACCCGTACTTTTGGTGTTCGCTTCGCAGCTCCATGCCAGTGCCGGAAGGGCTTGCAGCGAAAAGACAAACAAATTGTTGAGATGTGCTCAACATTGTTCAACCAATCCCAGGTCAGGCTCTTGGAATAGCTCGTGGAGGCACTGTGGGCCAGGGAACCAGACAAATGGGTTTGCGGGCAGGGTTTGAGCAGGTTTGGTGTGATTGGTTTGTGGTTGCAAGTTGCAAGTCTTCACACATAGTATAGAGATTATAGAGCTTATGTATATTTACAATGCTGCCAAATGAATGAAGACAGGGCAAGAACTTGGCAGCATTGATGTAAATTCAGTGGATGGCTTTGGGTAGTCGGAAACCACTCGTGTCGAAGCTAGCAGCGAGTTTCAATGTTCAAAACAGTATTGGCACGATGAACATGATATGGTCATGAATGGATTCCCTCATTTTGGGAGACTTGACATCAAAATTGACAGGTTCTCCACAAGAGGGGACAAATTACCATTTAGTGTTGTTGTTCGGGTGTTTTGTTGCATGATTCATAACACGCATCAGCGATTTGAACCACTTCAACAAAAACCAACAAAAAATATGTAGGTCTAAATTGTTTATAGAGAGAGAGAGAAAACAAGCATATATCATTATATATATATTATATTATATATACTTTTTTTTGTAATTGCGCGCTGAATCGCCGATTCTGGAAAAACATACCTGGACCATCCAATGGAAATCCAATAGAGATCCTTGGGCAGGGTAGTCCAGCCAGGACACTCATGAAAATCATGGGACACATTGCAATGAGTTCGGGAGAAGACCTGGTCCGGCCCTTTCGGGTCGGACCTAATTGACCTCTTCGGGGACAGGAAGGAAGAGAACGTGCAATCTGAGTGGAAGGAATCGGCAGATTGGAGTTCTTGGAAGTCCGGGCAAAGTTCCTGGTCCAATGACTCTTGGACATCGAGCTGGAAAACAAGGCTGCTGCCTGTTCGGTGCACATGGTTGGAATTCATGTGTGAAAGGAAAACCACATAGATTTGTGAGGCAAACAGGTGGAGGAGGTGGCTCCTGAAAGACTCTATAGGATTCCGATTATATGATTATATCTGATTGTTCAGGAAAGTTTGTGGCCTGGCTGCGGCTGACTGCGGGAGTCAGAGTGAGATCTGAAAGAAATAACGTTCTCTCATTGAAACACAGGATGTCTGAAGTCAGCTTTCAACAAAATCCAGCGAGGCCAGGCGGGCTGGTCGGTGTTATAGTGGATTCCAGGAATTTACAGGAACCAACGGTTTGTTGGACGGGTCTACTTTCGATGTGTTCAACCAGGCTGTGAACACTTGCGAATGATTGGAATTCCGGGTTTCTTGTAACAGCACTTGCACTGCAATTCCAAGGTATGTGGAGCAATTGCACGAAGCCCTCTTCCGACAGGACTGGGCTTGGGCAGGTTCCGGCGGTGGGACCATGGTGAAGAGTCAACGCCCTGCACAGTGTGCGGTACCACCCCGCCCCGACCACCACAAATTCCCAAACACTCCACATATGGTGATGCCGCATGATGGTATGTCGACATGTACCTTTGAAAGCATGCCAACCTACACATGGAGTGCGTGGGCACATTTCCCAGGGTCAGACATACCCTTGCCGACGTACATGGACACTCATGTGACGCGCCGGAGAGACTTGCAGAGGGACCAGGGGACGAAGGCAAGCGGACGAAGTCAGGTTTGGCCGAATTCTACCAAATATAAATCTCAAAAACATGTGCGCATTGGTGCTCCACACTTTGGAGAGATCACTTGTAGATGTGTGCTGCGCAGCCAATCACCAAGTCTGCGATCTCACATCGCCAAGAATCCGTTTTGAGGGCTACAATGTGACCTGGATGGCACGGCCATTGAAAAGACCTTGACCAAAAAGGTGGTTTTCATTGACTTCCATGATGATTTCAGGGAGTGTGCACCCCATTCAAAGGAACGACATGAACAGTTTGAGTCCTTCGCCTCTGCAGGCAGCATGTAAATCTCCAAGTCGGGGAGGCCCAGCGTGGCCCAGTGCCCGGTTCTTTGGGGGTGGCCATGCTTCCTGTCGAACTCAGGGGGGGATGGGTGTGGCGATTTCGTGGAGTGATGTCATGTCTTTTGTCTCTCCGAACCGGTTCCTGGAGGAAGTCCAACTACCTTGATCTATACACTCAATTTTGGAGTGTACCCAACATGGTTCCTGCAACGTAGGCCCCAACACCGGGTACTGCAGTTGCTTTCGGGTCCTCTCGGGCAACGATTTCAGGCCGTTTCGCTGCAGCGCGGCGTTGGGCCATGGATCCACGCCAGACTTGGAGCAGCCGCTGGCGATCGATGCAGGACGGGGGGGGGGGGGGGGCGTCGGTCACGTCGGTCACGCTTTGATAGCAACGGATAGAACCATGAGGCCAGACTGCAAAGAGGCTCCACTCGGAGAGTCTTTGATACATGAGAAGTCCAGTTTGATGAGTCAGGTTGATGTAAAACAATTGGATTGGGGTGATGAAACGGGAACTGGTATAGGATTCGGCAGGGGTGGACAAAGATCTCCACACCATATTGCGAATAGCTTTTTTTCGGGTATGAGTTGATTTTTTAGTTCATGTGCGGAACGACCTGAAGTTCAACAGAGTTTTAGACTTATATATATAGTATGAGATGCGTCTTGAAGTTGATAGAGGTGCATGCCAAGAGGAGGCACCCGGTTATTTCTGGAGTCAACGGACGCATCAAAGAGTTTGCTGCAATTTGTTGAGGTGTAACATCTTTGCCGGTCAACCCGGACTAAAAATGATTCATGCCTCCCGATGATTCCCTGTGAACAACTGACAGGAGAGGTGGAGAGGCGAGAACGATCCTGCAAGGCGTCCCCAAGCGATCGCCATGAAACCTGCAGCGTCATTGTGTTACTCTGTTACTCAGAGTTTGCAAAAGCATCACATTGACGAGCAGGTGAAACGGCGGAAAGTAGGTGGTGCACGTACCCAGACACTCGTCCGTGTATGACATAAAATATATAGTTATATTATGCCTTCATTGCCCCCTGAAACCACCCCAATCTAGTCAAATATGGCATACGTGGAGTGTATGGGGTTTATTGGAGTACCCGAGTTGCTGGAAGCCCCTCTACCCATTCCCTATTTCCACCAAGTTTTCCGGAAAATTCGGGACCGCAGGCGTGAGCATCAACGTGAAGGCTTCATCTCGGTGCTCTTCACGCAGAACGCCCAGCTAGACCAGGCGCCGGCGCGTCTGGCGTTGGCTGGTGGTTCTGCAGATAGTTGTGTGAGACGGGTCAGACTGTAAAGCCTAAGGCCTAAGGATGGGAGTAGAATGGACTTCCGAAAGACACTATGACTGTTGATCGATATTGGTGTTCAAGGCCAAACATAGGGGAGCATGCAATCAAGCTGGGTTCGCAGAAGGGTCGCGCGCAATCATGTTGTACCCTTTGCATATTGTGTTCTTAGAGGTTTGCACAAAGGGTTGGAGGGTTGCAGAAGAGTTGCAGCAGCCAGTGTGCGCATGCTGCCTGGTTGGGGTACTCAATTGGTGTTACATGTTGGCCTTCAAAGTTAAATCATCAACGTGCTATGTATATCAATGTAAGTTACAAAGACCAGGTTCTTCACTCAATTAAGGTCTATGAAGCTTTCCGACATAGAACTACTGCCAGCAGCATGTGTTTCCTTCCAGGCTCATAAGCACGGTGCATCGAGTTGTCATTATGTTGCTTTTGGCCAGTCAAATGTATGTTCTATAGTCTTTATAATACACTAGAATCTCACTAGAAGCTCCTGGCATTACTGCTAGTAGCTATAGAAGCTACTAGGTGGAGGCCATCGCTACTAGTTGATGGAGCCCCAAGTCACTAACATTCACTATATTGCACCCACCGACCTGAGCACCTGGGCCTTCGAGGTCTTGCTGCATGTGGAGGCTCTCCGCACCTTGGCCTTCTCGGCGTGGACACACTGCCGGGTGAAGCGGCCCTATGCGCGGAAGCTCAGCAGCTTAGGATAGCAAGTGATAGGTCGCCAGGAATGGCCAAGATCATCGAGATCAAATTATGTAATATATGACCGTTCAAATCTGTAGACCCTGAAATATGTGTCTATTTAATCATGTTGGATACTTTCTTAAGCATGTCCTAAACCCTTCCAATCGAGTTTAGGACTCAAAAACAACCCCCCAGCCACCCATCCACATCATCCACCAGCCACCAACGACCCGGCGCTGCAGGTGGTGATCACCGATGGTCCACTCCCCTCAGTGGCCCTGGAGGCGCTCCAAGCAGATGGGCTCTCGGTGGTGGAGGCTGAGCACGAGCTGCAGGCAGCGTGCGCGTACTGAGCCATGGAACATCAATCACCCCCTCACACAAAAAACACACACACACACACAGACACACACACACACACCCACACACACGCTGAGCTGAGGGTGGCCCCCGAAGAAGCCCGGGAGGGAGCGCGGGGCTGGCAGCGAACAGGTCTTATTGTTATAGCGGTTTGGGGTGCAGACCGATCTGGAGCTCAGATTGGGATAATGTTGGTCAAAACGGGTCTCGATCTCTAACCAGAAAGATGACTTAGAGGGGGCCCGGGCATCAGCCGACCAAGACTCAACAAATATCTAGATGTGTTTGTACTATTTTTGTGTTATTCATGTGGGAATCGCTTGGTTATGCAGGTTCTTTGTTTGTCATCGGACGTCATCAGTTTTGGACAAAGGCTGGGGGTTTGTTGTGATGTGCAATGTGCGGTTAGATTGTTGATATCTCCATTGCTGCCTTGGGAATCAACTAACATCGACCAACCTTACTATACCCGCAGGCCGCTAAACCCACTTGTGGCAAGACGCGTCCCCCAACGCTCAAGACCAGAACTCTCACGCCTTTGTCGATGTCGACCGATGTCCTGTGGACGTCGGCCGGAGTCGACCGCAGGGCACCTACGGGGCCAATCTGCGAGACGACCTGTTGAGAGCCCTGGACCGTCGACACCGTGGTTTTCCCCAACGATCGACCACATGTGAAGAAGAACGACTTGTGCAACAAATATGTCCCACCCACCTCTATGCTAGAATGCACCACAGGATGCCTGTCAACAAAACACATCTCCAGGTTTCTGTGACCAAAAACATCGCCAGACACTCATCGACGAGTATATACTGTGTCAAAACAGGGCCAGGAGATTTCTCAGTTTACTTAAGGATGTAAGGTTCCAACTTCCCTCGCTGGTAGCTCGCTTTCACTGAACAAGCCATTGTACCTTTTTAGGCAGGCCATGTTACTATACGGATTTGTGAGGCTATGTGGCCATTTGATGCCCATTTGAACACGATTTTTGGATGCCACACCCACTCCGCCACATGCTGAGGCAGTTGGACAGCTGGTGGATGGAGCGGGGCGTCAGGCCGACGGCCATCAAATTGGCAGTGGCGTGGCCTATTTGTGAGAGGAACGGCAGAAAGTGGGCACATTCCAAGAGGGAAAGCCATCCAAAATCCAAGGAAACCTGAGGCTGCACTGGGTTGCAACCTGGCAAACAGCATGAAACAGCCGGTACCTATGCATGACATCCAAATGACAAGAAAGACCATCAATAGCAGGAATAGCGGCTATTAGCGGCTATATGATATTTTTTTTCTGTGCGGACATGTCTGGAATCCCCGAACTTTTTTTTTGCTGATGAAAAACCGGTGAGACTGAAGCCATTGCAGTTGTGAGACTGAAGCCAATGCGTTGTTTCGCGTTTCACGAAAAGGGTCGGCATTTGAGGGCTCCAGAGGCGAAGAACTGACGAGCGGGCTGGCGCCGTTTGGGACTTTGCGGCATGCAGTAATTAAGATGGGCCAATTGAGGTCTGGAACATGACCACCTTCGACCGATTGCTGTTCTTGGATGCTGACACGCTTATCCTTGGCTCCGTGGTTGAGCTTTGTTGAGCATGGTGAAGTGCAGAGGGGGAGGGCCACCTGACAGCCCAGCTTACCTTTAAAGAGAGGTGTTCAACAAAGCACTGCATTCCTTTCGGCTTGGGAACAAACTCTTCATGTTTGTTCATGGATCCAATCATTCCTACTCGTCGTGTGGATGTGGGAATCCAACGCCAAGAAATGGATTGACACCCGTGAAGGTGGGAGTAGCTCGCTGAAAGCCCCAAATCCAGGATAGCTTGGTCGAAGATGAGCTGGCAGTTGTATGGAGCATCACTGGGAACAATCCAGATGATAGGTCAAAAACGGTCATTGTTTGCTTGAAGAGTTTCTTTGGGAAAGGTTCAAAATTGAAGTGATCAACTTCGAGGGCATCTATGATGAAAGTGTACAAATAGAATGATAGGCGGTTTGTCGAAGCCGCTCAGAGTGTTTCTGATGGTTTCTTGCGACGTCAACGTGGCCCTTTCATCTCATACTTCTTTAGCGACCCGTTGCGACGAGGCCCTGTGGATGAGCTCTTTGAGATGGACGGGAGTCGAGAACGGTCGTGGCCATTGAACTATCCCCTAGAGATTCATTGTACATCGGATGAACAAGGTGGTGCCTGGTCAAACTATACTAACTGGATCAACCATAAGATCCCGTTGCTCGTTTTCGATGGTTTTCTTGGTCAATCAAACTCTCTTGACGGTTTTCTGGGAACAATCATCCCCAGATGCATAACAATCAGGCCTCACGAAACCGCCGTCTCTCTCGAACGGCCGCTCTCTTTTGGTCTCACGAGGCCGTGGCGTTGGGCCAAACCGAACGGCAGGACACCTTCGCTTCAGGGCTGAACCCCTACTCGGTACACGGGATGACGGAGGTGGAGAACGGACGCATCAAATACAGGACGGGCCCGTTCGGTGCGATGCGATGGCTGGTGGGGCTGTGACCGGCTGCAATTCATGTAGATCATAAAACATGATCACCAGCCAGCCCTGGAGATGTAAAACCCAGCCCTGGAGGCAGAGAAGCTTTGTTCATCAACAGTCTTCATTAGGGTGTGAATCCGGTGTGAATTAGTTAAAGAGAGTAACTGAAAAGGAGACCTCGAATCTCGCACCGAACGTTTGGTCAGCGGACCAGGGGGCCAGCGGGGCAGGCCAGCGCCTCAACGTACGTTCTGGTTGGAAGATGATAAGTTCATGTCCCACCCCACAGGTTGGTTGTATGTAATGTCGACATATGATTATAACTTACCCTGAATAAAGCTAAGCAATTCCCAAAACAGATTTATAAATACACCCTAAATAAAGCAAACTGTTTTCATCCCTGGCCCTAGATATCGAAAATCCAGCCTTTTAAGTTTAAAACAAGTTTTTCCTCTATATATAGATTCCTTTCTTCAGATTCCTTTCTCCTAGACTAGAGGACAAATTTCTACCAATACTAAGCTGTCTATTTGAGGTCTCCCAAGGGCGGCCGTATTGATTAATTAGATGTAGACCTTAAGTTCCCTATTCAAAAAGGTTTGGACCATCATTCTCATGAAGTTGTGCGCCAAGTGATGAGGGACTGAACTGTGGTGTTCTGTGCACCAACAAGTGAGTGAAGCAACGGGTTTCGGGCCCAACACCGGCAGCAAGGCACCCCCAAACCCAGCGCCCGATCCATCGCCCAGCGGAGGTTGCATCCGGGCATCAACACGGGCGTGCCCTTCTCAGAGGGAGACGTTGGAGGGAGAGGAACTGAGAAGGCATGCAGCCCAGAAGCCTCCGGCACCCTCCGGAAGCGCTGATTGGGAGGGCATCCGGAACTTAAAGCTCTCAGAGTCTCAGTCAGTGAAAGAAGGAGGCCTCGAAAGATCGGGAGGATGCGATGTGTGTCTTCAACAAGACATGAGCATGAGCATGGGCTTCTAGGGCAGTGTACAATACTATATGATATAATATGTATGCGGTATACTGTATACTACTGTATCATATACTATCTACAGATGTGTAAGAGGCACAATACTCACACAGATAGATGCACCCCAAACTGTGCTGTGTGCATGACTATTTTCGTGTGAGTCATAGCATTCCTGGATGAGACCTTCAATCACCCACAGCACCTACCCAGTTAGTGGATAAACTTAAAATAACTTAAGCCTTTTCGGGTTGTTTTTCACTACTCGACCAGAGATTCTTTGCCGATTTCGAAAGAGGCTTGACAGATAGGACAGCTGGAAGGGGCGGCTGTTTTGCTGGGAAACGGCGGAGTGAAGAACAGGTGCACAATGGTGCACAGGTGGCGATCCCTCATCGACTCAGATCCGGTAACATCGTGTCGGTCTGCGGGTACCCGCCGTGTGGTTTGATCCCTCTCCCCCTCCCAGGTGATGATGTTGCAGCCTTCCAGAGTGTTAACCATGGAGATGGCCAAAGACATGGCATCAGGAGACCTTCGTTTCGAAGAAACGGGGCACGGGTGAAATCCAGGGCATTTCCAGGTCTGACACCGGAAGATATCTCAACATTCCGGGGGTTCTTGAACATCCAGTGAGAATGAGAAGAGATGAACTCCTGCACGTTCCTTCCATTGATCCCCTTTCAAGCTGTTCACTGGTGGAGACTAGTGGAGACCCTGCATGTTCGCCACGGCCTGCGAGGACGCCTGGATCGCACCGCGATCGCAGAGCACTTGGGCCGCTCCGATCAACCGTGGCTGGACCGGTGGTGAAGTAAAACGGTGGGTGGACCGGTGATGGAAGAATCCAGGACCCGGTTTTTGTTTCTTCTGAAAGCTCATTGTTGATCGACTGTTTCACTAGACCCGAGACTCGGGAGTATATATAGTTAAGATGAGTGAGTTTACGGCGGTTATCATCAATTGTGCCCTTGATGTGGACCCATACCTGTGATTGGGATCTTCCTCCTTTTCGCCGGGGAGTGCAACCGCTTTTGAGGTTGGGTGTGGGTTGGGGAGTTTAAAAGTTGTTTGTGACAAGAGGTAAAGTTAGTTGTAAAGGCAAAATTGAGCGCGCTGCTTTAATATGTTTAGTCCGGTTTGCTGCGGTTGGTTGGGGTTGTGAGACAATTTGGTAATTCTGAGCTGTACGTTCCCTTTGAAACTGCCAATGTTCAATGTGAATATCGTTTGGCGTGTGATGGAACCTGAAACTTTTGGGACAGCTGGTGCAGATATTTGAGGATCGAGCACAAGACAGAGGCCACAAAGACAAAACATGACAAAATGCATGCTTCTATGTCAGAAACTTGTCTTGCATGTATATTATATAATTTATAGCTACCAAGCCCAAAAGGATGCCTGAAGCACATAGGACGCGGCACCCCCCAAAAGAGATGTCGAGATAAAGGAACTGCCTGCACTTGTTGCTTAGATTTGGTGCTTGGGTGGGGACTGATGAGAAGGGGCACCGGGCAGGAGAGGAAGGAGGGAGAAGGGAGTGGGGATGAGTGGGGAGTCGACTCGGGACGGAGGAAAGAGGAGGGTCCTGGGCGACTGGACGAGCTGGGACCTGTGGATTGGTCCGTTCGGACCTGGCGGGACCGAGAAAGGTACTTGTATCGATCCCGGTAACGAACGAACAGACGAAGGGATGTTTATCTTGCTGTGTGTCCAAAAAGCATCAACAAGCGCAAACAGCCACTATATGTCACAAGGTCATGTTTGTATTTGTCGTAGAAATTGGATACGTTCTCATAGAAATCATCTATGGAGAATGCTGCGGCTTGGAAGTAGACACGCCGTCCAAAACAGCTGTTTGTGAGGACTATCCAATCAAAAACTCAGACACTGCGTAGGTATGGGGGCGTAGATTGGAACATAGTGGAACTACTAATTAAAATTAAGTCCCAGTCCCTGTATTTTGTGATATGTCGTTCCACATCCACGTAGGGGGTGCGCCAAGTGGAGCTCCTCTTTTAAAAGGCTCCCTTTCGACGAAAGAAAGCGGGTCCCCGAACTCTCTCTCGCCACGTTCCTTCCTCGATTCGCGTCTCTCCGGTCGCACGAGTCGTCCGATGCAGGACGCCTTTTGGCTCCAACACTCCCGACGCCTGGGCACCGCCAGGTCGGACCCGAGGTGTCACGTCCTAGTCAGTCCATCCTCATCCTGGTTCTTTGTGTCGATTGAACAAGATGTTGGTCGATTTTCCAGTTTCTTTGTGTTTTTAAGGCCTGATTTGATCGGTCTAACAAGCCACTGGCTGAGGCTTTCTAAGAGTATTTCTTCAGATGGCTTTCGAACTATAGCTGGCACCCCTCGATGCCATTTCATGTTACGATGCTTGTGACCCCTCGATTTCGGGTCTCAGGTTCTTGGGAAGATACTGCAGGATACGGAAATTATCACCATTTGTTTGTCACCACTCATCATCGTTGTGTCAAAAGGGTTCATCCTGGTTCATCACTCGCAAAAATAAGGATTCTGAGCATCACCCCAGACATGGAACTGAACATGTTCAGCTCTGGTGGTGTATTTCTTTGAGCTAAAGGTTTCTATTGTACGACCTTGTTGGGGATGACTGGCCATTGAGAAACACTATGGTTTGTGTTCTACGGCAGCTTCACCTGCAAGTGCCCATCCAATTCCTGTGGTTCACCCGCCTGTGACCGCACAAGCTTTTCAGTTTCCGATGAAGAGCTTCCAGGCATCCGTGTTATTTTTGTTGGCGTTTCTGTATTGTTTATTTTGTTTTTTTCGGAACATCCAAAAAGGTTCATTTTGTTTCCCACAAGATTTGCAGCCGCTTGCAAGAGAGGCGGCGTAGCAACCGTAAAAGATCCTTTGTAGAACATCCCAACCTTCCTGATTGAACCCAATTCAGACTCTCATTGACACACCTGTACTGCGATATACCGCACACTTACGGTACCTATATACACACCTGTACTGCATAGGTTCCCTTCACTTCTTACCCGACTCGATGACCTCGACGTCAGGTTTGCCTCTCGGGCGGATGGGAGCTTGGCGTTTCGAGGCACACGGTGGCCACTCTTTCGTCCGTCCACCGACGTCGAAAGAGTGTTTCGACTACTAGCTTCTTGTTACTAGTAACAAGTGCCACGCTAGTAGTAACAAGTGCCTTACTAGTAGTAACAAAAAGCTATTAGAATTAAATCAAATTTAAATTCTATAGCTTCTTGTTGCTACTAGTAAGGCACTTGTTACTAGTAGCGATGCACTTGTTACTACTTTTTCTTTTGCTTGTTTGTTTTCCACCTCTGGTGGACATAAGTCTTGGGAATCGCAACCTTCTGCACGGGGGACGGTGGGACCGTCATTGAGACCTCTCCTCTATGCCAGTGTAGGAGCATCTCAAGCGCCGCCATTTGTTCTACCTCCTGAGGCAACGTCTACAGTATATAGTAGATTTTCTTGAGTTCCAGAACAAAAGGAACGTTAAGTATCTTCTAATAATTTTGCCGAGTTTGACTCCTGTCTCGCCGGAGACACGGTCAGAGCGTGTTTAAAGGCGGACTGGGATGGAAAGGAGCAGATGACGTGGGGCACCAAACGACACCTGCAAAGCGAGCTTCTACAGAAGGACCACCTGATGGCGAAACCAAATACCTTGAGGACTCCAGTTTCTGCTTCGGAGTTTGTGTTTCTTCGTGTCTTTACTATAAAGTACTATGGGGGTTTTGAGTACTCTCACTTTTGGTGCAAATCAATTGCTATAATACGTGTGTTTACCGCACTGATCATCTCGCTCTCCACCCTTTGTAAAGAACTTGTTCACATTCGTTGACAAACTGCGGATTTCTTGCGCTTTTTCAGCACATCCTGAACCCCCACCGCGAGCCACAGTTGTTTTGTAAGCTTCCCGAGATATTGTGCAGCAACCTGGTGGGTTTAGTAGACAGGTCTTGTGAAGAAGGTATGAACATTTGTACCATTGTTGTCTTGGTTGCCCTCCAAACTTTGGACCTGGTTGCCCTCCAAACTTTGCGACTGCCGTGTTCCAGATGACCGGAAGTCAGAAAACACCTATGAAGTACGAAACAAAAGTGCAGCGAATCCACTGGCCACCTTCGTTATCCTTGGAAAAGTACGCGTATGGCCAGCTGTCCTGTCCACCTGTCCTTTCGTATGGCCATGCGATGTGGGCTGGAAGAGCAAAGTCGGATAGCCCGATGAAGCTATTCTCCAGTTGCGGTAGCAGCGGCACCATCGTGGCTGTGGGGCAAGACGAGTGAGTCGTCTCAAAGCTGGATGAGTGACACTTCAAAGGATCATTGCTGTTCACTTGCAGGTGACAACTTTAAGCATGTCATTCTCAGTCAGCGCTCGGTATGGATGTTGCAGCGCCAGGGTGCGATGTCACCTTTGACGTGGGTGTGGAGCCTCAGAATGGCCATTGCCATGTTAGGGTTGGCGGGAAAACTGAAATAGTGCACTGGGTTCGTTCGACTTTGGCTGGACCTCAAACAAAGATGTTGCTTGGGTGTGCTTGTTTGAAGCGTGCCGGAGGCCTCCCAACCATATATGAGAGATAGTGAGAGCTTGATAAGCAACATGTTATTTATATATAATTATTATATAGTAGTATGTATTGTTATTATGTTATATTATGTTCGATCGTCCCGCACCCTCCTCATGACCGGAAGCAAACAAACATTGATTTCCTGGGGACAAAATTTTGAGACAAACATAGACAGACCTCAGCTAATGCATGCATCACTATTCCAGTTTGTGGCAGCAGGACGAGTAATGAATGGTAGGATGACAAACTTGTGCCATGTGGTTTGTTTTTGGTTTGTCACATGTTGTTTTTGTTTTAGGCATTTTCGGCCCCTTATTTAACCCCGACTATCAACTTTGATTTCTTGGAGGTCTATATAGTTGGCGCTTAGGACTCCAGGACGTTGGTCGATCGGAACTTGGTGTATTTGTCCTCTTCATAAAGCAAGACCCTTAGTGAGGTGGAGGAAAATTTACAGTACATGAAAGTGTGTGGATTTTCGTGCCAACATATCGAAACAATTTCCAGCGAATGCACGCCCAAAAGGAGGGTCCACAATAATTGAGGAAACCCAACACACAAGTTTGCGGACACATACTGTACCATTTGGAATTATTGGAATACAGCACTTTCACTGACACCCTGCAGGTTTGGTTTGAGAAAACCACTTTCACACCTATCCAACCTGCAGTCTTCAGATGCTAGGAGAAAGGAACCTCCAAGGCACTGCCAGTGACACTGGGCATTCCGTCGGTCCAGCGCCACATTCCTCGCACAGACTGGGGCTACGCCGCCCGTCGAAGACGCATCGATGCCGCATGGATGAATCCACGGATTTTGTGTTGGCGTGGTGTGGTGGATTGCTATTCTATGTGGTTGGGTTGGATCATGAAGCATTGCCATTGTTCTAAATTCGTCCAAAATGAAAGGCCTTGGGTTTTGCTCATGTTGAGCATGTATGCGGATGTTGGTTTTGTCAACGATTGTTGGGTGTTCTTTTTCCATGTCACTGGCAGGATCCAGAGGGTGATTGGTCATTCAAGAAATTTGGCCAAGAAACCTTGAAAGAGGGTCCCTCACAGCTCCCTCCGTCGTTTCATCAGGGTTCCGCTCGAGGGCCGGGGAGCCCCGGGTTATTCCTGCCAGTATATTGCTACGCTATCACCCTCGAAACGTTCCAGATAGTTGCAGATATTTTGGTCTTTTGTTGTGAATCTCCGGATGCCAAGTGCAGATCCGACTCCTTTTCATTGCATGCTGAGTATCCATTCAGTATTGCCGCGAAGTATGGAGATGCTGACCGTAGAAGATCCAGATGAAGCTCCCTTCAGTCATAGACGACGTTCGGAATTCCTATCCCTTTGCCCAAGAGCAATTAAGTATTCGTTGTTCAGACTTTACGTATATAGATTGAAACACAACCCGGCTCGGCATCCAACTATGTCCCACTATGACTCTCTTGAAAGTTTCAATCGATTCACCCATATGTTGTTCTCAAAACGAACAAGGTTGCACAACGAACCCAAGACATCCGAAGACCCCAGACTTGTTTTGGATCATTTCATTCGTTGGACTGGTTGTTACACCGAGGCCTGCAGTCGCGGGCAGACCCGGGGCCGGCCCATGGCGAGTCGAGGCGAAGTGAACGGGCGTGGCTCGAGCCGGAGATGGGTCGACTGTCTTCAAATCATTAGGACATATGAGGACATTAGGAGGCAGAAATAGGCAGAACTATTGCTCTTCATCGTCAGACAAAAAATAGGGAAATGCCACTGAAGGGGCCAGCGATTTGTTCCGCTGGGTTCCAGGAGGCCGACATGTCCACTGTTGCCCGGTTTTTCACCACTAGCTTTGTTCGAGGATTGAGACATCTGGTCTACACAGGTGTGTAAGATGAATCAGCGGAAAAGACATGAGAATCCTCAAAATCCAAGTTTAGTAGTACTGTGGTTGATCACACATACTGGGTTGAGAAGATGCTTGGTCTTCCAAGGGAAGAGTTTTGTTTCTATGCTTTAGAGCTAATTATTGTACAGTTACAGAAACTTTCTGTCCGGCCTGAGGGGGTGGCCGGGACTGGGGGTCCCAAGAAGAAGCCATTTAGAGGATTCATCCTGTTCCTCACAAAATTGAGGTCTGGAACTGACCCAGCTTCTGTGTCAAAAACCTTTTCGTGTTGCTCCCAGGATGCTCCCCGTTCCGAAGCGAACCTTCCCGAGGCCCGGAACGTGCCTGGCCACGGGCCTCCGGGCCGTCCTGCCGGCGAGGCACAGCGAGGGTGGGAGGACGGACAAATTCGATCATTGCAAGTAGTAACAAGAAGCTAGTAGTAACAAGTGCCTTACTAGTAGTAACAAGAAGCTAGTAGGAACAAGTCTTTCAAGTAGATTATGTGTTTTTGTTGTGACATTTGGGAGAAGCGGTGCGACTGGAACGGGCGCGAACTGTGACGACTGGAACGGGCGGACGAATCAAAGGACACTAAGATGTACCGTACCAAACATCTCCAAACATATTAGATGCCCACTCCCTATAGCCCATCAAACCCCTCAATGTAGGTAAATATTATATGCATGGAGTGGCTGGGATGTTGACTTGTCACGCACTGACAGCACGAGTCAAAGTATCACTTTTGGCACAGGACCTTATATTACACCGTTGGAACAGCCACGAAACTGCAAGATCAATCGCAGATCTGTTACAATGATTATTTGTCTTGACACATCTTTATTGATTTCTTGATTGACAACCCTCAAGTCAAATCTTAGATTGGATTGATCCAACCATCTATCATCCATCAACTGCCTCCCTGGAGCCTCCCGGGCTGTCCAATTGGCTCTCTGGAGCCTGCCTCCCGGGCTGCAAACAGAGGTCTTTGGAGCCTAGATGATCCTCCCAAAACACTGAACTTTGACCTTTAACACTCAAGACGAACACATGTGATATTTTGTGATGACTTGTTCACATTTACTTTTGTCAGTGTTAAAGTTGATGGAGCCCCACCAATTTCCATGGTTTCCATGACCAGGTGTTCCCAAGCGCTTGATTGAGCATCCTTGGCCCAACAGAGCAGGACACGAGAAGCGCCGTATGATGCGGCCCATTGATGCTCATCAGGTGTGTTTTACACCGCGACGGGCGGTGGAGTGCGCCGGAGCAGTGTACTAAACAACCATCAATGAGCATTGACATCCTACCTCATGATATGGTCCGTTTCATGATACATTATCATATGTTGTGACCTTGCACCTTTGTCAATACAAAACCCATTGAAATGTCTGATCACCAGAATATGGTCATCCTCTTTCTTCAAGGCGAGCTTTTTTGATGGAGCTTCAAACCACTGACAGACTGACAGGACATTTGGTGTGACCGAACCAGAGTGAGGTTATCAGGTCATCAAGTTGGAATAACCAGGCAGATAGGTGCTCAGAATAGGTACCTTCCCTCAGACAATCATGGAAGCATATGGAAGTCCAACAGGCCTTCCCTTGTAGAGGAAAATCGTCTTCCAAAGGGACGAACTGTTCCACTTCCATGATTGTTTGGTTCAGGGAGTGTAGCAAGTTTCGAGTGTTTTGGTGGTGAGTTCACCGTGGAATCTGGGCACGGAGTCGAAGTAGGGCAACGAGGGCGGGTTTCATTGCTCGCTTCGTTCCAACAGGAGGGGTTATTCCAAAACGGTTGGGGTTTTGTTGCTCCTTCCTGCCAAAAGTGAGGATCCCAGGAGTCGTTGAATGAGCTTCTGTGCCGGAATTGACCAGGAATCTTACACTTCGCATTCCCCAAATGTTTTGGGCAAGGTCGGTCTGGAAGCTGAGTTCCGCAGTTTCTGACCGGAAGTGAGATGATAATTCCGTACGTGGGCCCATCCTGTACGGGACCCCTTTCGATCGAACGACCCGTGCAACGAGCGTCGAGTCGACGACCTATTTTATCGACATCGGTTTCTGTCAAAGTCGGATCTCCAGGTCCGGTGTATGCGGCTTCGTGGAATTCTGACGCAGGCTCACTGCATTCTGCCCGTGGAATATGACTTCTTTGCCGACTACAAGGCCAGGGTGCCAAACCCGGTGGTGCCAAACAGTTTCTCACCTTTAGAAAACTGGTTTGCCCTGTGACTTCAAGGACTTGGTCTTCAAGATGCATCAGGTCCCCAAAGTTCACTGATATACATTAACCAAGCGGTAATCGATCTATAGTGGAAAGGGCCGTGTCGTCGCATCTTGCTGAATTCTCGGACGCGTCCGCTTCGTCCGCTTCGTCCGAGGCCATTCGAATGCACGTTTGGTGAGGGGGCCAAGGCCACATGGGAGATGAGAGAGAGAGAGAGAGACTGACTGTGATACACTGACTACTTCTAGTAGCTGTAGAAAAGTCCAAATCGTTTCACGTAGTTTCACGGTTTCAAGACACGAAGCCACAGAATGTCACTTTCCTTGTTCAGTTGTGTGTTGTTCACTGCATGGAGTTGAGACAGGTGAGGCGCCGGGCAGGTTCCAAGTGGGAGATCTCATGACCACCATGAGACCATGAGTCCAGGCAGACCACTCAACATGGGTGTTCAACCGTCTTCGGCCTTTGCTGGAGATCCTATTTCTGTGTGAGGTGCACACCTTTTGCTTCTCAGTTCCGTCGTGCCGCTTTTGGGTTCACCGATGGGCGTGGGCGACGGCCCGCCCCAGGGCTCAACGAACACCGCTCGGTGTCACGACGAACACCGCTGAGGTCTGAAGCACGGCAGCGGAAGACTGCAGGCGATGTCCCATGAGCGTTGTAAGATGCATGGATTGTAGATCCCACTGGGTGAAGTGAATACATATACTGTATCATACTGTATCTATATAATAAGATATAACATAGTACAACATAATATAGGATAATATATAGTCCTGTCCACCTATTAAAACACGCCGTCCCCCTATTAAGAAAACCTCGGTCGCTTATTGTTTAATGTTTTTTGTTAAGAGTCCGGGTGTTTGTCAGAGTGCGCTGTTTTATGATTTTAAGCAGTGTTATAACATAATATGTCTTTAAACAGGTTTCCTTTAGAATGTATTTGTTTTTAATAGTTTTAACAACGCATGCCTTAATAATGGACGGTTAAATCCTTCTAATGTATAATACGTTTGTCCTAATTTTGTTGCATTTTTTCTACTGTATATTCACCTTGTAAAAAAGGACTTGTTATCTCTTTCTCTGTAATTGCTTTCTTCCTCATTATTTTTTTTTACCTTGTCTCCCACCTTTAATGTTGGATACATTTGTTCTTTCCTTGCTTTCACTGATACGTTCAATGTTGCTTTAAACTCATTCTTCTCTTTCCTTCATTTGGTGTTAGTCCTGTTGCACTATGCACATCTTATTATTATAAGTCAGCAATATTTTTAATATGTAGTCAGTCCATTGTATATTCTGCTTTCCCTTCTTCTCATCATTTTCAACTCTTTTAGATAGTTTACCGTTACATGTCCTAATAAATCTTTCAGCGAAGGCAGGATGTCCTCTTGCCCTGTATAATTCAATGCCTTCACCATCCACATATTCTTTAAAATCAGCACTTGCTATACCTCTTTCATCATCAGTATACAAAATGTTGCACTTCTTTCCCATTTTTTGTAAGCCTTCCATAGTTCCAGCAATTATGTCAGGTGGGGTTTTACTATTTATTGGCACTACCACAGCATATTTACTCAGAACATCTATCATTACTAAACCCGCTCTGAATTTGTGTGTTGCTTCAATGTCATCAGGTGATATAAAAACAAATATGTCAAGTTGGCAGGTATGATTATTATGAGGTGCTACAAAACTGTTCTGACCTCTTTGTTTTTTCTTTATCTCAACATGTTTTCTTTAACCAATATTCAACATCAGACATGTTTATTTCAGCCTTTTTATTGCATCTCTTAAAGTTGTTGCTTTACTTCCATAACCCGCTCTATCAAAATATACACTATTCAATATTGCTTGCTTTGAACTCATTATATAATATAATATAACTAGTTTTGAAAAAAATGTTGTTTTTTCAAAAATAATCAGTGAGCACTACAATTACAATACTTACAGTATGGAGTGCAATTATCCACAGAATGGCACAGTGTATTGTCTAGTCCTTGTGCTGTGAAGTTTGTTGATAATTTGCCTTGCTTCATTTCAATATAAAACTTTATTCCACAGTGGGCACAACAACAATGGAAATGATTCAATCACCAATGTTCATTAATATAGTTTTCTTTATCTATTTCTCTATCAGCCACTTTATCCTGTTTTTGTATCCTTCAATATTGGTTTTAAACTATCCTATTACTAAATTCCGTTGCATCTCTTCATCTGCTTTTTCATTCTTGAAAAAAAAATATACATTGTTAAAACCCCTTGCTCTTGTGATACTGCACCACAACCATTCTTTGCTCACTAGATACGATTTTTGCCATTCATGTATTGTAATGTTTCCTCCTATTGATGTCCCCTGTCTGCTTGGGCCGCCAGATAGAGGAACCCAAAAAAGAAGTGAAAAAAAAAAACACTATATTTCAGAACTCTTTCTGCAGAAGCCCCAAGTTCAAAGACCTCTGGAACATTGTTTTTTGTTTGTTTTGTTGTTTTTTTGTTTTTTTGGAAACCCAAGATTCCCAAACCTCTGGAAAATTGTACTCTTAATACTCAAAGCATCTGGTCATATCTGAAATATCTCTATCTGTGGCAAAATTTCCAGAAAAACATCTGCAAATCAATGGAAAACCCCACTCTCAGGGACACCCGTTCTGTTTTTTAATAGGGGGTCTCTGAAATCGGGGTGGTCCAAAATAGGGTCAGTGGAAGGATCCTTGAATCATTGATTAATTGCAGATCAAATGCAGATCTCGTGGCAACATGGTCGATTTTGAGGGTGTATTGGGACCTATTTTGATTTGGTTTGGGGGAACCTAATAAAAACAACTACCCCAAAAATCGACCATGTTGGTAGTTTAGTAGCGGTTTGAAGGGGTTGTAATTAAAAGAACAAACACATATATAAACCAAATTTAGGGTTTCGGGCATGGTGTTTTTTGAATTGGGGAGGTTTTTTATATGTGTCTTTTTGTAATAGGTGCTCGGGATTATATTATACGTGCTCACTTTATGATATACGCTATATATAGTTGAATGTAAGGGACGTCATAAAGTTGCCCATCTCCGGCTCCGGTGGGCAATCTCCCATATGTCGAAAAAGGCCAACAAAAACATACACACACACAAAAAGAAAACAAATCACATTTTTGCAATTTGGATGTCTTGGAATCTTACGCTGCGAGAGCTTCTCCGGTATTGTTGTGTTTCGTTCGAGGTGCCTTGCCGGGCGACCAGAACTTGACGGACATTGCCTGGGCCCGGTGCCTCGGGTGCCTCGTGTCTTGGACCACCCAGAGGGTCAGCTGATCGGAAGAGGGTTTGGAAGGGTTTGAAATTCAGTCTGAAACCCAGGCCAGTGGATCACGCGCTAGGTCCATTTACGCTATCCTCATGGCAGACTGGGCTTCACTTCACTGTTTCTAGTTATGCACTTGTGCAGCTCTACCTTGTTAGTTGGAGTCCCAAAACAAAACATTCAAACAGGTCGCTCAAAGCCCGAAACGCAGCTTGTTCTGCAATTGCACTTGAAAGTTACCCATGTTTAAGGCACTTGGCCAACATTCAACTCAAACTAAAGTACGTTCTGCAAACAAGTAAGTAAGAATATATATGTTCATTGAATCGATCAAGTTTTGCGAGGTCTTTGGTTTTTGAGGGCAATGATCTCCCTCAGAAGTCCGGTGTACCAGGGTGGGCGCCATAGGCTTAGGACCTTAGGATGGGTTTGTACTATTATTTGTTGTTTAACCACTGGGTGACAGCCATTTTGGTACAAGAGCCATTTCCTCCTCAGGCCGGAGCAATGGAGATTGTAACGGTTGCAGGTAACGTTCTCACTCAGCTTCATGAGAAGGATTTGGATTACATGGTGGAGACGGGAAAATCCATTAGGGATTTGAAGATTCTCCTGGCTACAGAGATTGGATTTTCAAGATTTCGGCTAAGATTATTGAGTTCAGACATGGGTGAACTAGATGATGATATATCTCACCTTTGCGAATGCCCTGCTCCAAGAGCAAAGTTGCATAAAGTAGCTATGGTGCAACATGGAATGAAGCCAAGATGAGCCAAGCCCTACGAGCCCAGCACATGTCCGCAAGGCGTCGCTTGAGATTTGCAGAGTCGTGCAGCGCAATCCGGTCGAGGCAAGGGTTGTAAACGATATTATATAGTAATATATATATATAATAGAGAGAGTGTGAGAGAGAGAGGCCTTTTGTTTCTTTGTGAACCAAATTTCTTGAGGTACAATTTGACATGCGAAGGAATAAACTGTCGATGCCGTTTGCAGTTGGTAATCTTGGATTTTTGTGTGCCTGAGGAGGCCAATTGGCAGGCACTACGCCTGGCGTGTGAGAACAATAGAGTTGCAGAAGTTACAGGTTTCCTACAGAAACCGCTGAATCTCAGTGGGACAGGTGCAGACGCTCACCCTCCACCTATGTATCTTGCAGCAAAAGAGGGCCATTTGGAATTGGTGCGGTTGTTGCTGGAGGCTGGAGCTGGCCAGAATGCGCCAAACCAACATGGGTCAACCCCTTTGATTGTTGCAGCTTCTACTGGCCACTTGGAGGTAGCATGGGCCTTGCTCGAGGCTGCAGCTGACCAGAACGCGGCGAGCCAACATGGGTAACCGCTTTGATGCTCGCAGCTTTCCGAGGCCACTTGGAAGTGGTGCAATGGTTGCGACAAGAACGTAGCAACGCACGACGGGGAAACTGCCTTCATGGCCAACTCAGAATGGCCACTTGGAAGTTGTGCGGGTGTTGTGCTGGAGCTGACAAGAATGCGGTGGAGCCGGCTCAACCGCTTTGGTGGCTGCTGACCTGCATGCTGACCTGCATGCTACAATTGCTTCGCTGAAAAAAAACGCGTCAGGAATCAGGTTGGGAATCAACTGGGATTGTTGGACACCATTGACTGACATTTGCCCAATGACCCTATCCTCCCAACAACTGTAAAATGTCAACCTGGCACATGAACTTCTAGCTCTATACCAATTTGGTGAAACGCGCATGTACACATGGTGTTCAAAAAGAGTTGACGTGTGGGGAATCCTTGTATCAGTTGACATGTGGGAACACCAGACATGTAACCCTGTACCTCCTAGCCGGTTTGGGAGCTGGGTCCAGTGTGGTTCATCACCCAGGCTGTGAAGCAATACGTCGAGGAGCGGGCGACCCGGTGGTTCCTGCCGTTTTGACAACGGGGAGACCGTGGAGACCAGTTCAGAGAATCCGTGGTCGCTGCCAGCACAGCTTGGTTGAGCGCATTGAGCTCAAGACCTGGTTGAGCGTATAGGTAAGGCACTGTCGGAGCTGAGCAGAGCTACAGCAGAATAGCGTTTCTTTTCTTTTCTATCATATAATATAGCAGAGCTGTCACATAGCTGTTTCTTTTTCTTGGGTTGGGGGCCCAGCGGTAGTAGATAGACCGTTCGGGCCGTAGGGATGCCCTGAGTGGTGCCATCCAAGCAAGCATGTACTGTCGTTATAGTTTTTGGGCGGCCCATTGCAGTTCAAAGTTCACAGCAATATATATATATATATATATATTTGTCCATGACTGAAGTGTGTTTGCAGCAGTGTGAGTGAAATAGATTGCAGGTTTGTACACAAGGAAGGATGCATAAGACCACCACCCAAAGAAGGGAGTTTGGATTTAGTCCAGAGGTCACCGGGTGCAAATCGCGGGGTGATTCGGTGGTCATCACATGTCCAGCAGTGTGTCCATTCCGTGCGCAGTGCTGAGTGCTGTGCTATCTGCCAGGACTATGGTCTTTTGGGCCCCAAGGGCATTAAGATTCTCCATTGGCCTGGAGAGCTCCGGAAACCTTGGCACCGCTGGCAGAAGGCACCGCATCCACATCAAGTGGTCAGCATCCATGTGGGGTTTTGAAAAGAAGGTGTTTGTCAGGATGTGAATATCATGTACATACTGATACTAACATCTATTACTGACTGACATATGTTCTTTGATGTAGTGGATCAGTGTAGTTTTGTTAGTTTCTTCTCCCACGCTTCACAGTTTCAGTTTCGATTGCCGAAGAACGCTTCGGGCAGTCTGGGTGGAGATGTTCCGTCCACACAGGAACACGTGGCATTGGGATGCATTTGGTACTGACATATGTTTTTGCCTGTGTCAGTCTTTCCTGGATTAAGATTATTGTATCAACATATTGTTTAGAGTTGCCAAGGATCACAAGTACAGGCTTTGAATAGTGAATAGTGTGTTGCCCAGGAGGGTTCCTCCATTGCAAATTGCATCCAGTAGACAGTCTGGGCAGTCACATTGTTGAAGATACATGGCCTGAAGATGGCTATGCCAGTGGCCCAATCCAATAGCTGCTCCATTGTTGGAATGATCTCAACAATTTTCAACATAGTATATCAAATAGAATGACGAAATGATTTCCATACGCTGCATGCATTCAGAGAGGCAATGATGGTTTTGATTGGAAGCGGGCAGTTGGACAAATATAGAGGTTACGTTATCGCAACAGAACCATGTGCCTTTTGATATATGACACAGCGCAAGGTTGCTTCACCAGAATCCAGCCAGCATATCCGGAAGAGATGCTAATGTTTGTTTGGCAGGTTCGGTTTACCGGGTAATGGCTGGTTTTTATTGCAGCCAATGTCAACATAGGATTAACCAACCCCTCCTATTAATCAAGCCCAGCTGGAGCCTCCAATACTAAACTGATTAAAACCCTGCAACCTCCCCCTGATAATTTTTGTTCCTTGCCAGAAACCGGGGCATCATCACATCAGGTCATCATCTTTATTAAGGGGATGTGGTCTCCAATCCCTCCAATCCCAAACCTTGTTGACCTTGTTGACCTTGAAGGGGGGGGTGATTAATCCTACGTCGACATTATAGTGGCTGCCGGCTTACTTTGCTTATTCTGTCCAACGGACGTTTTTCTGAGTATATTTTTTTTGTATACTATATTATATGTATGTACATGATGCACAGTTGCCACTGTGAGTAGGCAACCAACAAGAGCTCACAAGTCCGTTGCGGCAAGTGGCATGTACCGAGTGGACTGCTGGGGCAGGCGGTTCGGTCTCCCTTCGATGATGAGTGGTGGAAGGCGCATGGAGAGATGTGCAGGGTGCCTAAGATTACAGTTTGGTGGCCAGCAGGGCTGCCGGGTTTCTGGGGATCAACAAACAAGCAAATAGATTATTGCGAGTACCAGCCCGCCTTTGTTTGGAGATCGCCTATGGTCAATATGTGTTGCAAGTGCAGTCTTAAGCATACTGTAGAAATGCAAGTCAGGGTCCAAGCATTGGTTGAAAAGCGGGCTGTTAGCAGAAACCTACCAGGGGTCCCGCACACGCCTATTCTCACTCTTCATTGGGCGTCTCCTTCAGCAGTTCGTGGCTTTCAGCAGAAAACAGCAGGGTGGAAAGGTCCACCATGAATTGGATTGGTTTGGTGATGTTTGGTCATCTATGTACCTTGCATCCCGGTGCCAATCTCTTTAAACTCCAACTCACCGGTCACGAATAGTTTGCCTCTCGCACATCTCACACTAGGTCGACAAAGCTCAGCAGCATGTCTTCTCCATTGTGATCAGCTGAAGTAGAAAGTGAAAGTGGCGAAGCGGATGTGTGAACAAAAAAGACACTCTGGTGACCTTGTGTCTGTCAACAAAGAAAATGACACATCATGATGTCATGATGCCAAGGGCATTCTTCTCTTTTTTGATTCCACAGAGATCAAGTTCAAGCATCTGCTTCAGATGTACATAAATCGTTGGATGGACAAAATCCGTTCAAATCGCAGATCTCGTAGACCGTGCACGGGATCGTGCACCCAGACAGTGGGGTTGCGTCACCTTTAAGTTTCGAGTCTCAACAAATGTGCTGAGGCCATTTGATGCCTGATATGTTTTGATGATATCAATCTATAAGTATAGTCTATATACATGCCTACATCTTCAAAAAGGCTGAAATTACGGCCTGAGCTCAAAAATCAGCCTTTTAGCTCTTCGGGCTGAAAATCAGCCTGCGGGCTGAAATTGTTTTTCAGGAGAGAGTTTTTGTGATATAAATATATAGGATTTTTGTGATTTATACTCGGGCAGGAATACCCGGGACTCGGGCGGGAACACCCGCGACTCGGGCGAGAATTGCCGGGGAGCTAGTTCAGAGAGTTTAAGATGGGGTAAGCCAAAACTTCCCAAAATGCACTCGGGCGAGTTTTCAAGAAAAATCCAGAAGAAACGCCCTCGGGCAGAAAAGCTGCCTGAACACAAAAAGACTGAAATTACGGCCTTAGGTAGATGTAGGTATACATTATATAACTATTAATATAAATATGTTTCCCCACCTGTCAGGTGAGGGTTGTTAGATTTTATGTCAGCTGCCTTGCTTCTCCTCCGCCGCCGCCTCCTCCTCGTCCTCCTCGTCCGTCGCCGGGTTGCGCCTCCTCAATGGCAGTGTCCCCCGCTGGACCTCAGCCGCCAGCTCTGGATGGCGGTGTTCCCCGCCAGACCTCAACCACGAGCTTCGGTGGCAATATTCCCCGCCGGACCTCAACAGCCAGTTCCGGACGGCAGTGTTCCCCGCCCGACCTCAACCGCCAGCTCCCGATGGCAGTGTTCCCCACCTGACCTCAACCGCAAGTCAGAAGATATGCCAGAGAGAATGTCAGAAGATATGCCAGAAAGAATGTTTGAAGATATGCGAGATAGAATGCCATAATGCGTGTCAGAAGATATGCCAGAAATAATGTCAGAAGATATTTACGCCAGAAAGAATGTCAGAAGATATGCCAGAGAGAATGTCAGAAGACACACCAGAAAGAATGTCAGAAGATATCTTAGAAAGAATTCTAAAAAGAATCTCAGAATGTCAGAAGATACGCCAGAAAGAATGTCAGAAGATATGCCAGAAAGATTGCGACATGATGTTTCAATACATGCCAGAACATTTGTCAGATTGAAATGTCATGGTGGGGATCACTCGAAGTAAGGTATTTTAAATGGTATATTGACGTACCTTGACCTTAAGAAATTTGGAAGTGGAAAGCCTTTTGATCATCAAAGGTAGCTGCCTGCGCATATTCGTTGGATAGAGGGTGGCAGGAACACAGAACTTGGCACGCCCTGACCACTAACATGGAAGTGGACAACAGGTCTTGCGAAGACCATGTTGCCCTACGAACAGGGGGTGTTGCCTCAATGTCCATGGAATGTGAGCCGGAGTGTCACTCCATTGCAACCGCACAGGGTCCACACTAAATCTCCGGACCCGGTTGATCCAGTTGACCCCGACGAACCACCACCACAACAACAACAACTACTACTGCTATTGCTACTGCTACTGCAACAACTACTACTACTACTACTGCTACTGCTGCTGCTGCTACTGCGACTGCACTACTACTGCTATTATTATCACTACTACTACTACCATTACTATTACTACTACCTTTACTACTTCCTTTCCTACCCTCTAGGACTACGACTAGGACGACCACGAGCACGACCACACCACTACCACACTTCCATCACACAAAGTCAATCGGGTCAACTGGGTTCAACCAGGTCAACCGGGACACCCTGTTCAATTGGGTCAACCGGGTCGACCTGGACAGCACATTTACCGACCCCCTGGGCAGACGCACTCTGCAACTCTCATGAGGGACCAGATCAAAGGAGACAGCCGAGCTGAAAGGGCAGACGTGAAAACCACACACTGAAAGCAGGAGGGTCGAGCAGGCCACCACGCAGCTGAAAGACTGCGCCGCACGGGAGTGGTGTTGAGCAACGGGGGCTGAAGGAATGGGTTTCAAAGTTTTAACGGATTCAGGATGAACCTGTCAAAATGTGTTATTGATCTTTGATGTTCAATCAGAAGTTGTGCATGTTTATACTTTAAAATCGTTCCATGTGCTTGAAAGATGAAGCAGTTGGTGTTGATCAGATAGAGCTGTCACAGCCGTTGGTGCAGCCAAGACATTCTACAATGTGTATTGTCACATTTGGACCATTTCTGTGTGATCTAGAGGATCCGAACATGTCCTTGTGATCCATTCTGCAAGAGCTGCAATGGCGGGTGACTTTTCTTCTGGAGTCCCATCTTGGGTTCACGCACAATGGTGCCATCAGTGGTTTTTCACACCATATCAACGGCGGCGTTACCGTTAATTTTAACTCCAGCTCCCCGACACATGCTTCGCTTGAACAGGCACACCATGGGCGCATGTACATTGGAACCAGAGGGCCAACAGGACCCTGGGGCCCTGGGAGTTTGTAGGGCAGGGGGTTGCTGCTTGGGTTTTGACACGTCAACGCCGGACCTGCTTTGTTGCTCGCCCGCAGGTCTTGGACAATTACTTCTTCGCCTGGGACCCGAGCAAATCCCCAAAAAGGCGACTTTCAAATCCCAGACAGTCCAAATTGGCATATTTGCGTACATTGGGAGACTTGAAATTGGGTCAAGTAGCATCCACATACGGACTATTCACTTGTACTGGGGTGTAAATGTATTCCACACGTGGAGTCTTTGGGTTTGGGTATCGGCTTTCCGTTTTGGCCTGCAGGTGGTGAGATTGGATGTTGGTCAGACAGCTTGCGCTCTTGCTGGCGCAAGAAGACTTGATTTGTTGATCGTATTTTGTCATCATCGTTCGGAACCCATTTGGATATCAATGAAATGTTGAAGATGCAATGTGGCTGCGAAAGCAATGCACGCATTATGGAAAGAGTCGATGTTTCTATATGTGTTTTATTTGTGTGCGACTGCGTTCCCATGATTCACTTGCAGGTCCTTGCTCTCTCTAAGTTGTTGCTCTTCGGTGATTCAAAGACGTTTACAGTTCCCACCTTGAGCGTGGATGAACGGCACATAGTCGAACCTGCATCCCTCAGATGTTCTTATACATTCCAATTCATTTCATACGAACCATGAAATATGGCCAAGCTCTTCCAACAAACGCCGATCGCAAACGCCCCACCTGTTATTGTTGGCGTTTTTGGGACGCCCTGGACGCTCCTTGTTCCGCACGATCACCAAGGATCCACGCGCGAAGATCCCCATCTTCCCCAAGGCCTGCAGTCGGATGACATGGCCGGCATTCTCTATATATATAGATTAATATATGTATATTTTTCTAATATACACTGAAAAGGATTATTTGCTTGGTGGTGGTGGCGGCGGCGGTGGTGGTGGTTTGAGAGGCTTCGACATAGAGTCATGTACAGTTGCCCCAAGTGAACAGCATTAATCTCAGGGATTGTTGGAACAGCCCAACACCTACACAGTCGAGCTCACCTGAGAATCAACCCCTAAACAGATCCGAAGCGAGATATTCTGATATTCCGCGTCATGTGAATGTTCCGTTGCGGGGAAAGCAGCTGTGTTGATGACTCTTGCTTGTGGAGGCAAATTCAAGTCACCCCACAAGTGTTCCTTAAGTTGTTTTCTGCATCAGTATAGTCACACTGAGGTTGGGCCTTTTGTTCCGGATAACTCTTCAATGATGAATCAATTGACACCGCGACACCGCGGCAAGACATGAAGAACGCAGCTGCCAAGCATCCTGACCTCTATCACCAGCATCCTGCAGGGTCCAAGTCCCACACCCGTTTGCCGAAACCTGATCTCTCTGAGGACCCCGTTTGCCGGAACTTCTATGCCGAGCTCCTCCGTTGGCCTTCACGGTACCGCGACTACTACTGCTGCGAGCGCCCAGCGGACGCGGCCATTGCCTCCGGGTTGCCGGACTGGAAGGGAACCGTGGCAGAAGGCGGCGAGGCCGGTGCGTGAGGTGGGTGATGGACTATGGATGCCCTGGAAGTCAAAGACCTTTTTCAACATTGCTCATCTGGTTTTGTACTGTAAAGCCCTTAGTAAAACGATTAATTCATGGTTGTTAGGTAAAGGTTACAATTCAATAAAATTATATCATTTTATATGGTGGATCGACTTCTAGGAGATGGATAGACGGAGATGTAGGCAGTTTCTACAGGCGGAGCTGTTGTGGTCGATCAATGTAGCTGTTCTGAAGTTGATTCTGAACAATTCAATGACCAGCTCATTCTCGCGTTTGTAAAGATTCATGCCGCACATGATTATGAGCCTTCTGGAAGGTCCGTGATCTGTGTTCATCACCACCACCGTAGCAAATGTCAATTCCAAGACCAACGCCGCGGCAAGTGCACGTAGATCGCACAGCAAAGTCTTCAAGAATCATATACCTCAGATTCCAGACCATCCATGTATGGAATATATGACCCCTGAAACCACTGCAATGTAGGTGAATATAATTGTGAATATTATTACATAATATTATAACCATGATCTGGATCGTTTCGACCGACTCTCTTCTGTACATAGTCCAGTGAGTTCCTTGAGCCTTTCTTCGGCGCCAAGGAGCTCGCAACCATTTGTGGGACCTCAGTGGTTTTCCCGAGGAGGACCGACCGAGCCGGAATGGAACGAGAGCCGTGCCCGGAGGATGGAACCCCAAAGACTGAAGGAAACGAGAAGCCTTGAGCTGTTTCTCCTGCCAGGTAACCAGGTACTTCTCCTATAATGATTATATGATGTATATCTACCTGCATGGGGCAATGTATTGATAGGATTTTTTTGGGGTATTAGGGTATTAGTCAACACCCTTGCAAAGCCTCCGCAGCGCGACTCTCGAGCGAGGAAGTTCGAAGACTTTGCTTCTCCATTCGTGAGGTCCTGGAGATGAAGGGAATGCCTCTTGGCGAGCGCCACCCGTGCCGCCCTTTTCCCCTGTCCGTGCACGCGGTTGCACCGAAAGGAGGAAAGGTGTCGTTTTTTCTTGGTTTATGGCAACTATTTAGAGGATTGAAGAGTTGTGGCTCCACAAGCAACTGCGGTCTATAGGCATATTTGGCATATTCTATAATACATAATAATTTATATATAGTACAATGATCCGACTACTATGTGTTGCCATCTTCATGTCGCTCATTGTTTCAAAGCCATGTTCAGGGAACAATTCACTCAATTCACCAGCCTGGATCTTCGTTCATGGCCTTTCTTCAGCTCGGTTCCTTGGGTCCAGAGAGGCTATTCTGCAGGTGCTGTAGGCATTGACCCTCCCGCACAACACCAAAGATGGGAAGAGGTGTACATCAGCGATCATGGAATTTAATGGAGAATTGTTTTGGTCTTAGCGTGTTTCTTGGGAATAAGCTAGATGCAGTGGACATTGCTATCCCTCCATAGAATAAGGGCTGCAATTGAACCCCTTGGTGGGTCAGAATCCCAACAATTGGGCTGGCAATTTCCTTTTCGATGTGTCGCTGAAGGCTTTTAGGGTACTATATAGATGTACCACACCTCTAGAAAGCTTTTGAGTCAAACTCCAATTTTGTGCAGAACATTGGCCATTGGATCCTGCAGTCATACAGCTTGCTGCTTTTAAGCTAGATAGACTGGGATCCCGGTGGATCACGCTCCATCACTTCGCCAATAAAACCACAGCGAAAACCACCAAGCCGCTTCGCCCCGAGGTTTTTCATGGGCCGCGTGCGGCGATCGTTGCGCTCGGCCTTTCATCGAAAGCATCCCGGTGAGTGTCTCGTGGCGAGAAAGGTCCAGCGGTCGATCGGACGCTTTGGCCGGCGCCAGTGACGAGCCGAAGGTTTGCCGAAGGTTTGCCCAGCTGTCCCGGAGTCCAGGGAAAGAGCTGGTTTACATGAAGGCGTAGATGTTCCATTTGACACCCAGTTTATACATGAAGACGCATTATTTTTGTTAAACACTATATTTTTGTTTTCAGTGGTCGGTACAGCCATGCGTTCCTTCAGTGGTATTTGACATGTGATTCTTTCCAGGCAATTCCCCAGGTTGTTGTCGTACTTGATGCTACTTGTGGGTCTCAACGAAGTGATCATTCCAACACCAAGCTTATCAAAACAAGCTCAGTCACACAGGGCCAATCTGACACTGAGAATCCTTCCAGACGGTCCGGGACATGGTCCGTCGGAAGATCTTCGCCGAGGACGTAGTCATGCCATGGGTCGACATGAGCAAATTTCATCAGGATTCATCAGGTAAAGGTGAGAAAGCAGAGTCTGGTCTCCAAGAAAGGGGGGAAACATGTCCTAACCCTCCCAAATCCTCAGTAGCCCAAAAATCCATAGAACATCTCGCTAGTTAAGTGTTCAGGTCACCAGTGGTTCAAACATAGAGGAGACATCACAGGGTTTCCGGTCCTGTTTTTGCCGACATGTCCAGCTCAGGCATGCCTGCTGCGCCCCTGCGCGCCCTCGGCTACACCTCGGCGGGTGGCTGCTTCGCCAGCATCGGCCGCAATGGCAAACCCGTGAGCCTCTCGGTGAAGGATCACTAGATCACTCGGTCCTTGAGTCAAGAAATCGAACGGAGCAGGTGGGAGTTGGGACCAGAGCCTTCAGAGCGTTTCGATGCTGCTTGTTATATGGGCATCGATCTAAAGGTCCATGAAAGGAGTTTCATATGGAACAGCCATTTCGGTTACTAAGTACCAACCGGGCGAAAGATCGCGACAGTTAAACACAGGGTTCGCGAAAGTAATATCTTGTTTCGCGAAAGTTCATGTAACCATGTATGTGTTTGTAGGTAAAGGGACCCTTATTTGTTTGCTTACTGTGATCTTTTCAGACCACCAGCTCAGAAGGAAATCAGAGTCTTCCTTTAACTACTATATATACCCATGTACCCGAACTTCTTCTGAATATGTAAGATCATACTTCGCGAAAGTTTGCGAAAGTTAAACATGGGGTTCGCGAACTTTTTTTTTTTCCGCGAAGAGGCACTTTCCAGATGAAAGGAATTTAGATCAACCACCATATAGACGTCTCGAATTCTATATGCTAGCTGCTAAGCTGCTAGCATGGACCGGCTATAAAGGTGGAGTATGCATGTTGCAGGGAAAAACGGTAGGAACACCAAATAGGCAACATGTTCATGATTGTTCATGTGCTGGCTTCTCACGCGTACGCGGCTGTCACTGTTTTGGGATGCATGTCGGTGATGTTTAATGTATATCCACTCCAGGCATTCCTCCTTTGCCCTCAAAAAGGGAGCAAGTCTTGCAATCAAAAAGGTAAACCTTTGAGTGAAACTCCTGGTTTTCATGATGGAGTGAACCAGATGGTAAAGCCTTTGACTCATGACTTTTGGCTGACTTGTGACCATCGGAACGTGAGATTTGCACATCAGAGAAGCTCATGAGTACCAATGTAGAAGGTTCAAACTCATGATTGGTTTGCTCAGAAAAAAAGCTGGTATTATAAGTGTTGATGTTGGTAGAGCTATAAGATCCATCCTAAGTGCTGGTTCCGACACGTCACCGTCCACGTCACACCGGGTGGCCACACGTCATCCGTTCCTCCGGTGAGGCGCCTTGATGAAGCGCCTTGGTTCTTACAGCGAGGCAGCGGCGCACGGAGTTCAACGGAGTTCGCCGTCGCGGAGTTCAACGATGAACGTCACCGGTGACACCGGTGAATTACTGCAAAACGGGTTCCAATCCACCTGTATCGCCTGTTTTTGGGTGCGGAGATGTGGAGGTTCTTCCGAGAGGTTTCACTCCAAAGCTTCTGAAGAGGGGATTCTCAGGTTCAACTGACATCAACGAACCATAATGAACAGTCAGTCCAAGTCTGTAGTCGGAGTAGTGCTCAGAGAAACCCGTTCAGGGGTTCCCTGCTCTCCACAGGTTCGGTTTGGTTCCACCAGTTGCGCATGAATTCCCGTCAACATCACAACATCAACATCGCTCAACTTGATTCCATGCTTCCGCTTTCATCACTGGAAGCAAAGAGCGTGAAGACCTTTCCCACCTTTGGAGCGGTGACGAGCCACAGCTCCGATCACGGGCAGCCTCAATCGGTGACACCGGACGGTGGGAGGGAAGAAAGGAATTCGACGCCAAGGGTGGGAATCATGGTAATCCAGTCGTTGGGAGTGTCGTTGGGATCTGTTAGGATCATTGGGATCCTGAATCGTTCGGCTTTGGATGCTGATCCTTCGGTCAAGGCATATTTCAACTCGAACTGTGTTCTGTTTGAAGCCATCCCATTTGTCTGAGGATCGGCTACGCAACCGGCTTGCGCCTCAGGTGTCACCGGTGCACTTAGACCTCCGTGGCATGTGACGTTGATAAGCGGTTCTTGGACTCAAAGAGCACCCAAGCAGGTGCCTTTCTCTTGGATTCTCAACCCATGCCATGAACTGATAACATCATCCAGCTTGGTGAATGCTGCTGGATCCAACATGCCATGTTGAGGCAGTGGGAATGTTTATTGCAACAAGATCGTGCTTCTTGGCTCAACCGTCCAAGCCAAGCAGTCCGGGGTCGCCTGGGTGGGGATGGGTGGGTGCACGTGTGCTTTGGCGACGGATCCAGCCTAGTCCAGCCTTTACAGACCTGGTGTAGATGTATCGCTCTGTTCAACATGTCGTAACTGCAGTATTTTTAGATATGTGACAGGATGAAAAATACTATATACTGTTAGACAGACAAACTCTGCTTTTTGCTCCACATGGTGTTGGCAGGGAGTCGCACCTCCTCCAGTCTGTTTGTTCGCTGGAAATGGCTCGCCACCAGCAGAGATCCCCGAACTCCATGCAGAAACCAGGGTTCAACTCACATGTTGGTGCGAAATTGGGTGACCCCGAAGACCGCCCCTGTTTGACCCCTGGGAGTCAACATGGATCTCGAGCTCCAAGCCTATTGTCGGTTTCCACCGAGGCTCATGGACGAAGCGCACAATTTGGTACGAAGCCAGACTCAGTACCTGGCAAAGGTTTTGAGTCAATAAGGTTTGGTGGGGTAATTTGGCTGGTGGCAGATGGATCTTCTCATCAAGTCTTTGCTAAAGTTCTTATTATAGGGGGCTCAATTGAGGCTGCAGACGGGGGGTTCTCCGGGCAAAAACAACACAAGCAAACGTCAGACGAGTCGAAAACGCGGAGCCTGCCTGTTTTTCTGATAAAGCGCGCTTGCTGTGATGCATTGATAAAGTGCTAAGACAAACGTTTTTTTACAAACAAAATCCGTGCGATATGAACAGATTATTGCCAGATTTGGACAAGGTGTTCTTCATCTCCCCAGTCAACGTGTGGTTTCATATGGTTTCATGCTTTTTGCATATCGCATGTCATGCTGAAAAACCTTCAAACATACTGCTGGCACCAGTGAAAAATGGATGTGGTGCTTTTTACAGTGTAAATCACAGTACATTTGCACGACCAAAAGAAAAACTATGTCTGATAGTCAGCCCTTTTTTGGTCTGATCGTCATTCCTTTCGGTCTTAAGTTTGCCACAGTGCTTTTTTGAAAGCATCGCGTGGCACCACGCATGCTTCGCATGCCTTTATACATTCCTTGATAATCCTTTATAATCCTCTGTCAGCTCTAGGACAAGCAAAGTTTATCCTCATAAAATGGCTGCGACTCTTTGTCTCGCTTCACACGTACGTTCGACTCTGAATCCGTCCTGCACGTATATTTCAGAGGCCTAACCCAAAAAACAAATGGACCTGAGTGCTGAAAATGACCGAAACTATATTTTTTTTACCAGTAAGCCAAATATGGTGACGTTGATGACAATGTTGTGATCACTGTTGTGACACCCCGCCCCCGCCCCAGCCCCACCCCCCTACCCCATTTTAATCACACGACTAATCGATGACAATGTTGTGGTCATGACAATGCTGTGATCGGTGACAATGTTGTGATCGATGACAGTGTTGTGACGCTGAAGTCCCCGATGTCCCCGATGATGCTGAAGTCCCCCCCAAAAAAAAACCGTCCAGAACCTCAATTGATGTTACCAGTAGTTTATTACACATCACTTACACCGTGAGGTGTCTAAAAAGTGAGGTGACACCAATCCAAATCCGGCATCTTGGGGTCCTTAGAAGCCGAGAAGAGCAACACAAAATTGCTGAGACTGTGCCAAAAACCATCAGACATGCATAAACAAGCTTGCTCAACAGCTCTTTGTTTACTTCAGTAAGTGGAAACTGGGTACTCCATGGTATTCATCGGCAATCCAAATGACAGGCAACAACACGCATGTTGTTTTGGTTTTCTCAAATACAAGCTTCCACACAAAGGATTCACATGGGGACTAGCCCGGGGGGGGGCAACGACCAAAGATGATGCAGTTTTGTGGCAGGCATATCATATAGCGGACGCTGAGCACCCCTGTTGCACCTTGTAGAAGCTCCTGATCTCCAAAAGACCTTTGGTTTCTGTAGGGTGCTGGAGTTTTTTCCGGTACACACAGCTTTGCAGTACTCACCCCGACTTCCCCCCCATAGATAGATGGAACAGGGACGTATCTATGATATATCTGTATATATATATATAAATATAAATATAACTGTATATGTTGTTTGGTATAGGATGTCCCAGGGCATAAGGTTAAGGCGTCGGAAAACGCCAGGTATGCAGACCAGCTGCAGCGCTTGCGGCGGCTGCTGTACGAGGCAGAGAAGCTGGTGCTCGCAGGCTTTACGGGGACCCCCATTTTGTCAGAGCCACGGCCGGAGAACAGGGATAGGACTCATGGAGAGACGGGGGGACACTTGAGGTGTCCATGGGTGTCCATGAGATGTTCTAGTTGATATAGTGTTGTTTCTGTTATGTATATATATATATAATGCATGATTTCATAGTTCCACATGAACTTGAAGTCGTGGTTTCTGTCGGCCGGCCAGGTCTCAACTTTAAGCAACTCAGGTTGTCATGCATGGATCATGATGATTAGCTGGTGCAAAGTTTGGATAATTTATCGTGTTGATATGTTATTTGATCCTGTCCGAAAGATTCCAGAAGGTTTCGAGAGAAGCAAAGCCCGTCCAGAAGAGATCGAAGCGTCCTGTCCATTGAATCCATCAATTGCAGACGGAGGACATATCAAAGGCCTCAGGTTGTGCAAGGAGTGCCCTGCAGGAGAGCAAGTGATAGAGGCTTAAAATAGGATTATGTGTATAGGTTCCTCATGATCTTCAATGTTCTATGAAAAGATTGAAAAGATCCAACATCCTTGATAGTTCTCATTTCTCCAAAGCTCCGGCTTTCACCTTCACCCTCACCGCGTCGTCTTTTCCATCCGCGTCGGTCATCGTTGTCCCACTTCGGCGTCGCGCGGGCCCGAGGAGCCCAATGAGGGGCGTCAGCTCTTGGACATCATCAAGGGAGTGAAGGCGCCCAGCGGTGATGAAGGCAGGTCCGGTGACTGGAAGACCTGTGTCAGCGAAATCTTGCGGAAAGAAGACATGGTGGCTTTGAGGGGTTTGTAAGCAACACATGGTTTGGTGGAAATAGATAGGGCCCCTTCAACACTGTTTAGCTGTTTTATGAGGTCTACACATGTCTACATATGCACATTCATTTGTCGGCGGGAGACTTTCAAACCAAATCTCTTTGTTCTGGTGCTAAGAATGTCAACAAATTGAAGGAAGTCACTTCAAGAAATCATATTCAAAGGAGTTCTGGAATGTGTAGTGTCGATGGGTCAACCATTTCGTTTTGAATCCGTGGAAAGGAGAAAATACCGACAGGTGGTATCTATTTGGGTTCACCATTGCATGCACCTCCGGATAGGAAACACCCCTTTGGACAAGGTGTTCATCAGACATATTTCATTTAACATAGAGCCACATTGAACTGCCTAGACCTTCAAAATCCCAAAATATTTTGGTCGATGTGGTTTGTACTACTTTATTGTGACGATCAGTTGAAAAGTGATCGAGCACATACGATTCAAACAAAGAGTGGTCGTGCATGGTCACACACTGCCCTCCCCGTGGCCTCTGGATGACTGATGGATGACTGATGGATGATGATGATGATGATGATGACGATGATGATTGGTCGGTTTCACGGGAGTTCAAAGGTATGATCTCTTATGCTTGCACAAAACTTGTGGCGAAATCAAGTGCAGCTGGGTTGGCCATCGCTTGAGCAGTCGATATACCCCTCTAAGAAAGAGCGGCTTTCACTAATCCCTGGTCGATCAGACATTGCCCTAGAGCTCCAAGAATTACGAGCAGGCTCGAGCGCAGCAAAACTACAAGATACGGCAATGATATACGAGTATGCAAAAGGAACCATAATTGCATTGTTGCTAACAAATGAACTCATGTCCGCATCATGCTCGTAGGAAAACATGACTAGGCACTCATTTTCTCCCGAACAGCTTGTGACCAAAGATTGTCCAAGTGGAGCAGGCAATCGTACTCATGACATTCAGCCCAAAAGAGTTGCAATTCAACGAATTTAGAGGTTTCTCAAAAACAATCAAAAACCCATTTGACCTACTTTCTGGGATTTGTGGGCGTTTGCAGGTTTTTGATGGCGTTTTGAGGGTTTTTGTGGGCGTTTTGCGGGTAAAGCTGGTCGTGGGTTTTCATCAAATTCTGTTTCCGAAACCTCAGAATAACATTAAGTGCTTTCCACTCCATGTAGGTCTTCAGAGGTCACAACCTGGGCATGAACAGACAAATGTTTTTATCAATTTCTCCTTTGTCGTGGTGACATCAATGTATTTATTATATATCAAATCATCTCTGCCATTGGCCAAGGATGAACTTATTGCAACCCTGTAGCCAGTTTTTTAACTTCTTTGTACATATCCTGCATCGCATCTTGCAATTCCACCGGAATTCGAAGTCGTTCATTATTAATGATAAAGGCAAATGAAGACACTTGGCAGCTGGGCATTAATCCAGTTATCGTCATCAAGAAGGCCGCAAAAAAAAAAAAAAAACTTGAAGGTCGGTCTTTGCCGGGTCGATGATGACTGGCGTCTTCCACTGCGTCCAATGGGATGGCTGATGGATGGATGGGTTGATAAATACGGAAGTCATCCCCTAAATATAGATGTGTGATAGCCGGTGATGGCTACTCGGATCAAAATCTGTGGAGCATACCCAAATCACACCGCTAAGCAAAAATCAGTCGTTTCTGACAACTACCATTTTTTCCATCGAAGCATCAGAAACTAATACAACAACCCAATCGTACTAGAATATTTTAGCCGTTGGAAGGTCTAGGTGTCTTTATATACCTGGGCTGTTGGTGGGACAGCGACATAGACCCACGTGCTGGACCATGTGGTTTTTGAAGCAGAGCGTGAATGCACTCGCAGGCTTCCTCTCCTCCTTCCCCATGCGGCCACAGCCACTCTTCCCGGTGTCCCTGCCGCGCGGCCTCCCGGATGGTGCTCTGACCCTGGCACGCCAGAAGCAGCTCGTGCGGCGGGCGCCTGGGAAAGCAGCCAGTGCGACGGGGGTGAGTGGCCCTTTGAACCGGAGGAACCACGGTCAATAGCAATGATCCCCTGTGTCGAATCATGCCGAAATCAGAATTTCATTGTGCGAAGATCTAGAGAATTTGCACACAGCAATCACATTGGGGGAAGAACATCATGTTCATTCAAAATAACCCTCTCAACGGCCGCTCACAGAGAATGCCTTACCCTATCAACGTCCGGATCCTCCAGGTGGAGATCCGTGGGGAAGCGTTGAAGGTCTACGATCTGAAGCGACGCTTGGGCCTCCCCGGCCGGCGCCTGCGAGCCTACTGCAACGTGCCCCGACCGATGGGTCAAGCATGACGCCCAGGGAACGGCATTGTGAAGGAATGATGTGTGGAGGAGGGTTACTAGGCTGGAGCTACTAGGATTCCTAGAAAAAGACATAGGCTTAGACATGTTACTATATATATATATATAAAATTACTTGTGCTTCTAGGAAGGGTTAAGATGCCTGACGATATGTGATGGTTTTAATGTTGGGGGAGTGTCCACTTTGAAGATGTGAACCGCAGCTCATATATGAAGTACTTATATAAGTGTACACGCGTTTGGCTGCTCGGCCCTCCCGCTAGTGTAAGAGGAGGGCGCATTTCGAGACGTCAGTTTCCACAAAGTTACACAGCTGAGCATCCTGTAGCCTGTCGCTCCTGTCACGGCGACGAACTGGAAAAACATCCAGAAAACATCCAAAGACACAGATGGGCATCCCAACCAGCTCTTCGACACCCAAACCATCCCAGACCTACTGGTCAGTGGCCTTGAAAAGCTTTTTGGGCCGACAAAATAAGTACGTTGAAACCGCTCAACCCAAAAAGCTCCAAACCCTGTAATCTCCATGTTTTAGGCACTTTCTCGCACGCCGCGCAGCCTGATGAGGTGAGTATCTTCCACGCAGCCTTCCATGATGGCCGTGCCGGAAGCAAGGGCCGAGTCTTGGTGCCCTGGCCCGAGGCTCCGTGAACGTAGCACATGTCGGAGTGTTCCGTGCATTGCTCCGCGAACAAAGAGGGATGCCATTTTGGATGAATATTTGGGAATGTGTGTGTGTGTGAAATTGTGTGAGGGACTGGGGGGACGGTTCTGAAAATAGAAGCACACACAATTTGATCCAAGCCCCAAGCTATGAGCACATATTTTTTTGATGAGAGGTGTCGAATTGATTGTAAGTTTGATTCCCGTACCTGGCATAGTACAGTCCCCAAGGGCTGCTACTTGCTAACATGGATACTGTATATATGATATTGTATGACATACTGACATATAAATATATATATATATTGTATCGACCAACTGTTGCTCTGGGATTAACTTGGTGGTTTGGGTTGCTGGATTGCTGTGAAAACCACCCTGGCCGTCCGGAACGCACCTCCAGAGCCAACTGGCTGAGGCCTATCCCGAGGATTGCTGCCCCAAGCTCTTGCAGATTGCCCAGGCCGTCGTGGCGGAACCCTTGAAGGCGGTGATCATGTCCCCTGGCGGAATCACCTGCCTCCGTGGGGCACGGCACAGGTGTCAAGCTTCTCCTGGGAACCAAGAGACGCAGCGACTGAGCCGAGCGAGCGACAAGACTCCTTGACAAGGCTGTGGGTAACCTTGACTATCTATGAGAATGTTCATGTCCTTTGGTAATTCCCTTTTGCCCTTGGGCTTCAGATGATAGAAGTTGAGTGCACGGAGACCTATTGCACTTTGCCAGATGTAGCCGATGTAGCCTCATGCATCCTGAGCCGCAGGAAGGATGACAAGGTGAGGAACCTGGTTGAAAACTACATTTGATGCAGTGGATCTTCTTCTTTGGTAATCAACTACTGTAGTTGTTTTTGTTTCTCTCTCTCTCTCTTTTTGTCTTTCTTGTTCAGACCTCTTCCAGTTCAAGGGTGAGCTGGGTGAGGCTCCCAACATGTTTAAGCCATGTTTCACCCAAAGGCTCTTGTGATCTCAGTGCTGTGCAGCGAGGATCGGACGGACCTCGGGCTATGTGGTGATGCTGGAGCTGATGAAGCGTTTGGCAGCCAAGGCTGAGCCCCCTTTTCAGGTGGCCACCATGAATGCTGCTCAACTGAAGAACCTTTGAAGGGACTCCACACAAGGGAAAGGTGGTGAGCCGAAGATGGGCGGAGGAGGTGAGAGTTGGCAGAAAGACGAGGCAAGTCGCCGAGAGGATGAAAGACTTCAGGTAACACTGGATGCCCTGGCTTAGAGGGGCTGGGTGACGCGTGGTTGTGGTGGTTGACGATGATCGTTTTCCAGACTCGGTCGTCCCAAACCCGTGGCTCGCCCTCTTTTTGGACCCACCAAAGAGAGCCTTGACCATTTGAAGCATCTCCCCCTAGGGATCCAAGTACCTTCTGAGAAGGTGATTGGAGACTATGTAGGCTTGGAGGACCCAAGTACCTGCTGAGAAGGTATGTGGATCCCGGTCCAGTCGATGTTGACGTCCCCGTTTGGTTGACTGGCAAGTCGTTGAAGGTCGTTTCCCGTGTCGGTTTCCGTCGGAACCCCGAGAGCTCAAAGCACCGGCGTTGATTCCAAGCATTTTATAGACCTTCCGGTTTCCTCTCTTACGAAGTAACTACAAGTAACTACAAGCAACTCGCTGTAGATCTTACCTACGTCGTACGTTGTGCAAGTACACATATATATATATGGCTCATATATATATATATATATAAACTGTGGCGAGTACCGTTCACCTGAGCGGAGCACGCCACCCTGCGTTCACCCAGGAGCTCTCCGAATTCAATCACGTCTCCAATCTCCGCGGGCAGATCTTTCGCGTCTTGGTGGCCGACTCCTTGCAGCTTGGCGGCCATGGGAGCAGACCGTCCAAGGAAGTGTACATAAATAGGGAGACCAACTTCCGGCAAAGAATATGTGGAAGAAGGACAATAGACCAGTCTACCCAGCCAGGGCCAGGGGGTCTTCCTATTCAAATACGCACCCACCACTCAAGAAAATAGAAATCAAATTGAAGGCTTTGTACAAAAGACATAAGTCTGCAAGGCAGGCAATCATTCTTTTGCACCCACGAGACGGCCGAGACAGGGAACCACTGACCTCAGAACGAGGACTTGTGCTTGATTCGTGTCATGTCCATGCAAAGCACCTTCAGAGTAAGAAGCGAAGGAATGCGAGTGATAGCAATTCAAGTTCAAGTCAATGATGTCTTTGTATTTCGACTGTGCAGCTACAAACACTCCGTTCCTGGCTGAATAATGTTCCCGTTCCCAAAACTGAAGGATTTCATTCTCTCCCAGCCAGGACGTTTTGGTGTTTCCTTTTCATTGACAGAACACTCTCAGGCTTAGCAACAATGATTTGTCTCACAAGGAGGGTGGGTGAAAACTGAACACTTCCAGAACATCTATATCATATATATTCATATATCTAATATGTTTGCAGTCGTCCATCACCCCACCATCGTCGGCCTTATACATAATTAAGGCTCACACACACCCCATTTTTTGCAGCCCTACACTAGCCACATCGCTTTCAGAGACCAGAGACCTCAACCCACCCAGGCAGTGTTCAGAGGGCGTGAGCTTCCTTAGCATCCGGAAGACCTACCTCGCTGATGTGCCCGTCTCCCCGAGCCGCTGGGCGGCAGCCGGGGCGGATCGGCGACCGGCGAAACAGAACTACTTGATTGTACAAGTGAGGCCTAGAACCCAAGACATGTCTAGAGTATTCTAGAGACAGTACTTACAATGCCGTTTGCTGGGATGTTGCTTCACGTTCAAAGCCGAACGGCTTTGACTCTACCATGGTAGGGGATCAATCGCTGCACGATCTGCAGATCAACTCTCCCTCATGTTGCTTGGAAACGAGATCACTCCGCTCGTGTGTTGGACAAACCCACCTTTTCTTTGACGTAGGAGAGACAGCTACTACGTACTTTCATGGAGTTTTGTTTGCGGGTATCCCAGGTTTCAATGGCGCAGAGTTTGTTCAGGATAACTTTCAAAGTGTCAATGGTCAATGATGATTGTTCATCAGAGTTAGTTTTGTGTTGGTGTTGTCCTTTTCCAAAGACTTCAATTCAAACCTGAATCAGCCAGCCTTGTGTCGAAAATGGCTCCCAGACGTTCGGCGGGGCCCCGTGTCCCGTGTCCCGTGCTGTCCTCCGTCACAGCAGCGCTGGGTCGGTGAGCGGTTGGCCCATGTTGGACCTGTGTTCAACGGGTGGCTGCTTCCTGTTCAGGGGTGTCCTGGCTGGACGAATTATGACTCATTACTCTACTGATAGGTTGGGGAAGCACCAGGTTATGGTTTGCTTTGATGTTTAACATGAAGATTATGTACTCGAAGCGCTCGGTTGCTGAGGTGGCTTCATCCAGCAATGTGGGCGCTCCATTCGGATGTATGGCCATCGAGGTGGACTGGACGGCTACCGGTGTGGCGGAGGTGAAGACGTTGGGACAGAGACGTGGAAATGAGCTACGGACAGTGGGCAACCAGGGTTTGATGTCCACTGAAGACCCACCTGGAAGACGTAGATGGAGAGTGAACAAAAAGGCTCCAGGTCCTTCAAGCAGGTCCCTGGTTGATTGCAGGTGAAAAGGAGTTGACGCGGTTTGTTAGGAATACTTAAACACTCTTTGGGCAATGAGTAGTGCTGGCGTTGCGCGACCAAAAGAAAGGCCTGAGTGTGGTCTCTTTTGCACAACCATGTGAAGTCGTTGCTAGCGAACAAAGTACCAAGAAACAACTGTTCTGTTTTTGATGTGTCAGCCGCATAATATTGCTTTTGCTTTTTGTGTCGCCATGACTTTAAACACCTGGCGAGGCTTGCCAGAGGAGGAGCAAACGGTGACCACGCAGCTGTATGTGTCGATGCTTCCCAAGTGGATGCGCTCTTCATCCTTAGCATGCTGGGCCTTGAGGGCGCAGAAGAAGCACACCAGGGGAAAGGAAGTGGAGACTTGTTCAGGCAAGAGAGTTGCCCTTCCCGAGGCAGTTGAAACACGTGGGCCGCCTGCAGACCCTAAGGCTTTGGGGTTGTTTAGTGCTGTGTATGGGATGCAAATTGCCAGGATAGAACGGACTGCCATCAAGATGTCCGTAACATCAGACGTATTCATTGCAGTTTACATGGTTCATGGTTCGAGCGCCCACAAAAAAAATAAAAATAATGAAGTTCAACCATCCACTCTCATACACAAGTCCTCAGACTTAGTTGGGATGTCCCCCTGAATTATTCTCGGAGACTTCATCCCCAGAGCCCAACTGTCGGTGGCACCGTGTCATGGCTTCAACCGATGTTTTCACGGCGATCTGAGGAGAAGCGAGCGCGGGTTCTGACAGCACGCATGAACCGCGCAGGCATCCATAGCTTGGACACTAGCTGCAAGGAATTGGATCAGAGAGTCGTGGGTGATGTAGTACTATACCCAGGTAGGACTGAATGGGACTGGCATATTTATATGATATATGTATCTTGTAAATGGAGTGTATTAGTATAAAGTAAACCCTTTGAATTCTGTAGCCGTCCGAGCCACCCTTTGGGAAGAGTGTCAAAGTTTTTAGTGACTCTTCCTACCAAGGGTCGACATGGTCGAATTGCCTGTCAACATCCGTCAACTAAAGTTGTGTGTAGCGCTGTTCTATCACTTCTTGATACAGACATCAGACTGGGTCGACAAAATCTGTGTTCTCATCATCCATTCTTTCAGTTGTCATGTTTTTTTGCATGTTTTTATTTCCTTGACAGTAAGGCTGCTTGTGTCGACAGGTCAATCCAACAAACGCTGAATCTCCACGAGTGAGGGCAACGGAAACAACACATGTTTTGTTGGCGGCTGCACGGTCCATCAACACTCCAGTATGACTCATGACAGAAACATCTTGGCCCTGAACTTTGTTTCAGGGGGGGAACTCTTTTCATTATTCATATGTGAAGAATCGCTTGAAAAAGAGTTTGCTCAAGCAACTCACAAAACAGATTATGTATTGCATTCCGTAGGACATTCCGTCTCTACCGTAGAAAAGGGTACAAGAACGGCCGGTCGTCAAGGACCCCTCCAGCCCAAAGCCAAGGAAGAGCTCAAGTCACGCTTGGATGCGCACGGAGAAGCCAAGCAGAGGTCTCTTGGGAGGATGACAAAAGATGCTCGGCCGTGACTGGAGGATGCTTTTTTGGGTCATGGAGCAGTTGTGGACGGTGAATCCCTGTAAGGGCCGCGGAGAGATGAAGGCCATATCAGAAATGCACAGTTTCTGCCAAACGGAGGCCTCCAGAATAGTAGGAAATCTCCACGTTGTCTTGACGCTCCTACGTGTGAAGTATGATTCGAAGTGGCCCCGTGTTCCTCCTCCATGTTTGTACTAGGGTTCTTTTCACACGATTCATGATGTGTTTCGAGTGCTAGTTTGCTTTCAGGTTGTGTTTCTGGTAGTTGTGTGTTTTGCTTTGCTTTTGGTTTGGTTTCTAATTTGTTGCTTGGTTTCCACCTGTTAGAAGCGGCCACTTCGGACCAAACCCGACCATTTGAGGAAGGCTTGACCGTGGAAGACGTCCTGACTTTCCTTGAGCCTTGACTGGGGCAGTGTCGGACGCCGGGCAGTGCTAGTCAGCTGGACAGGGCTGGGTGCGGAGAGAGAGTCACGTTTCTTTCCTCTTGGGAGGGCCAAAGTTGCTGGATGAACTTGATGTCCATATTCCTGCTCTGTAGATTCTTTTGATTGTGCACTTCGAACGGTGCCCACTCCCGTCTTTTCAGATCTTCTCAGTACTTCTTGCAGACAAGAGGACACGCGTTGAACTCCTATGAACTCCTTAGGCGTGCTTGCGCACGCCATGCTCACAGGATGCAGCACAGCATCTCAGACACGGAGGATTCCATGAATCCCAAAGGGGCAGATATGGGCAGATGGTTTCACCAGGTCTTCCAACCCAAACACATGGCATTTCACCGCTCAAAAGCTGCCCTCGAAATCGAGCCCGCCGTGTTTGAGGAGCAGAACGGGCTTTGGGAGGAGGCAAAGCTTCTGCGGAACGCGGACAAGAAGGACGGAGAACGGGGCCGGGTTCGGACGGAGGCCAGGGGGTTCTTGTAGCACTCACGGCTTAAGTCAAGGAAGAAGATCCAAAAATCGCGGTGCCTGGAGTGTGGCTGTGTCCTTGACGGAATCACACACCCATGGGACCGCCAGGATCTCCCAGACCAAGCGAATGGTTTCCCAGTGGGTCCAAAGTGATCAGTTTCGGCCTGAAGTGAGTGCACAAAAAGGCCGATTTAGACATCCTAATCAGTGTCCCTTCAATCCAACCGCCTTATTTTCAGCTGAGTGACCTCAGTGGTTCAGAGTGACTATACAAGTATACTGAATGCAACGCTACAAGGCTATTGCTGTGACGATCGAGAGCTCGAGTCTGGGGTTCATCTTGCCCCGGATCCAAGAGACGAAAACAGCAGGACAAGGAGAAAGCCCAAGCGATGGAAGAATCGATGTAGCGTGGAAGAATCGATGGGACTGGTGTCAGAAGTGGTCTCAGAATGGAGAGATTCTTCCCCAAATGGAATCTGTCCTGGACTTCTGGTGATGCCCGGGCCGGACAGCGTCCATCTTCTCACGGCTGAGTCTTCAAACCAGGCACGAAGCAGAGGTTGAGGGTGGTTAATTCATGATTCATGAAGAACCGGCATCATCAGAATCTTTGCCGTCAGCCCCTTTGGACCTTCCAAATATATCCAAATATGATATGATTGTATTGTCGTTTTCGCCTTTACGTCATCCGAATGCCTCAGAGCCGAATTTGGCCGCTCAGCTGAATCCTAGTTTCCATCAGTTTCAATCCTTGGAAAGATCTTGGAAACAGGGGACATGTTTCAGCACCTCCTTGGCAGATTCGGAAGACCCAGAACTGTTGGGCCGTGGTTGAAAGCAATTCAATGGAACTAAACTTGTTCATCTACAGTCCCATTCTATCTTCAGGGATTCTCATATGAGCTTGTCCCTAATTTCACAACCTGCGCGACATCAGCCTTCGTCCCAAAAGCGTAAGGCAAAGCCTTGGCGATTCGCAGCTCACCCGTGGCAACACCTTGGAATCCTTGGATCGTGGCAACACCTTGGACACTGAGATGGCCAAGGTGTGAGAGAGGGCCTAAACCATCCTAAACCCTAAACCCCGGGTTCTGAACCCAAGGGTTCTGGACCCCAAGGGAGCTACCGGGTAAAGGTGTAGAACTCTACGGTGGACAATGGTGGACAATATATGTTTGTTACATAAACATGTTGTATATTGTCGCTAATTAGTCTCCATGACTGACAATCTAGTAGAGCCACAATACATGAGAGCCATGGATGCAATGTGCCAAGAGCGACATATTCATATATTGTATATATATATATACTACCCGAACCCGAATTTGCATAAACCGAATCGGGATCCCAGCGTTCTTGATTTGTGGGCCATCAGCGATTAGAATTCATGTGCATATCCAGGGCGTTCCAGGGGATTTCATCACCAGCCCCGCCCTTCATCCAATGATCAGATTGAGTCCAGCAAGGTTTGTTCGTGTTTGTTTGGTCCGGTTTGCTTCCAGCAATCCACGGAGAATCCGTTTATCGCCCACAGCAAGTCACCTGGTTTTGGTGAATCAATGCTGTTGGATAGTGTTGGCACCGCTTTTATCTGGAAGAAACAGGCAGATCGTCGCCTGCAATGCTAAGGAAGAGGACGACTTTACTACTGCACTGGCCTCCATGTGCCTTGGCGAAAGAACAATTTTGATGGACAGGTGTGCGGGGCAGCCCTTGGAGCACCTTGCACCTTTTTGATCAAAAGAGCAGTTAGGTGTTCAGAAAGTTTCAAGAAAGTGTTCAGACCAATTCTTTGGGTTCCTTGGCCAGTCAGTGCAGCCCATCGGCAGGCTGGAGGAGGCCATGGGAAAGGATGAGATGGGTGATGCGGAACGACAGCAAGAGATGGAAGCCTTCAAGGACGGAAAACTGCTCTCTCTCTCAGTTGTGTGTGTGTTTGTTGTTTTTCTGATCTTTGGATGGATGCCCACAGTTCACCTAAATTGATACTGGACAGCTGACCGTTTGAAGACCGATTTCTACTCACGGCCTGACTTCAATTGATTCAAAGCCATGAGCTTGCTTGCTCAGCAGTTTGGATGAACTGCTCTCAGCAGGAATTGGCGAAGCGACATTTTTTTTTTTTTAAAGCTGAAAGAGGAAGTGTTGTAGAGGCTCATGAGTCCTGACATCGACATTGAGTCCTGACATGGAGAAGAACCCCCATGAGTGTTGCATACGAACCCCGGCACTGTTTGAAGGAAGAGCAGGATGCTGACGATTTGGATGGAGTGACTCAGCTGGACGAAGATCGATCACCCAGACTCTCCGAGCGGTCGAGCAACGCGGTCGGCTGTGGAGTGGACTTCGTAGAGCGGTCTTCCCGGTCTTCCCCAACCGTCCCCTTGGCTGACTGGTGCGACGAAAGCAGGGAATGAGGGTGGCTGGATCCAATAGAATCTCTATTGGGGGCTCATTCCCTTATTCCCTACTAAGCACCAGTCAGCCAAGGGGGTGATTTTCCACGACCATCGTACCATGGTCTTCATGAGTCAGAATGATCAGAATGTAGATTGAAGAGAGCGGTGATCGTAGCGGACGGAGATCTCAGCTGGTTCAGTTATGGAAACCGGATCTTCCGAAAGCATACTATGAATCTATTGCCCTGCCATGCTCACAAAACATTGGTGAGGATTGATTTTAGAGTGATAATGCCCTGGAAATGGTTGATGAGACAGTAATGAGACACTGGCAAAACATCGGGAAAGAACACAGGGAAGATCAATCGCTGATGAAGCCTTTGTGTCTCGTTGGTCAATGTGTCAGGTAAGGTATGCTTTTTGGGACATGAACGGGACAAACAATCCATCGCTGGATCAGACAAACAGCCCATGGGTGATACCGTGCATTCTCAGTTTTGCATGCCCTTTGACAACTCCCGGACCAAGTGTTCAACCGGAGCTTGATTTGCCTTCCGGGTGAACTCTCATGTACTCTCAGCCATACTCTAGCTCTACAACATGAGGGAAAGCTGCAAAAGGAGTTCCCGTAGATGCAAGAGAGGTCTTTCTGACAATCTGTGGACCAAATGCAAAGGTATACTTTGGAATCAGGTGGGTTGGAAGTTGGCAGGGTCCAATAGTCGAATCTGCTTGCACTTACAACTTGTGTAACCAGCAAACAAACAGCACTAGTCACTAGTGTTAAGAACCGTGATGAACCGTTTTAGCCCTCCGCAATTCTGTCTCCCTCGCCCGCTTTTTCATCATGAACCTCAAATCCAGCAGTTGGAAGGATTTCCATCAGGGCATAGATGAAAAGACTTGAAGTAGTGTTTCAAGCATTTGGCAGGAAAGGACGTCTATTCTTGTACTCCAGGAAGTCTTTATTTGTTATTGGTTGTAACCTGCTTTCTATCCAATTGAAGTTGACTATGATATGTTTTGTAGAGCAGGCAACGTTTTAATCAATGGGAATTGAGAACTGTAGTGTAGGAAGTGATGTTTTGTGTATTTCATATTTTTATTGAATGAAATCAAATTAGATGCAGAGTTGTTGGGAGACAACAGAGTTGTTTCTTTTGTTTTTGACTATGTGTATTGTCGTGTAAAGTGTCAGGTTTGAGGCTAGAGAGGTTTGTTATGGTCGTGCAGGTTTATATGTGTAATTAAGGTGATATTTACTTTGCATATCACTTTCCCGCATGCCGCATGGAACACAGACTGTGGAAAGGCACAAGCAAGAGGTCTCGATGTAAAGTACACGGTCAGGCAGCGGCATCACAAGAAGGTTTGCGCGTCTGGTCTTTTGAAAGGGGCATTCTCACAACTTGTTCCTTTTCCTTCCATGTTCATTTCTTTTGCCGGCCTCAGACGCGCCTGTTCTCTCCCTCCCACCTGAGGAAGAGAAGCGCAAAGCGGCTCCACCCGCGTCCAACGCCGCACCGAGCGCACCGCGCCGAGCAGCCTCGTCCAGCGCGCTGGACGCGGCCGTGGCCGAGCCTCCAGCGGTGCGTCCGATGTCCTCGCAGGAGCAGACCTGCCAAGGGAGGAATGGGTCTTCAATGTGTCCAAGTGAAGCGAGATTCAATTGAAGAAAAGCCCCTACCAGAATGTTTTTACATGGTTTTACAATGGTTTACCGGTTTTAATCCTTCATATAATTAGGGGTGGCTTGCATCTTCAACAAGAAGTAATGGCGTGGAAACATTCCTGCACTGTGCTGCAGCCCGTTCCCAGACTGACCCTCCTATTTTTGACATCGCCAGATCCTGATGGAGCCGTGAGTGCGCACCAAAAGAGACATGTTTTCTCGACCTTCGGAGTGGTTTTCTAGGAAGGCCAGGTCCTATCACGATCCGCACAGTCTCGGTCTTGGTTCGGGTCTGAACCACGATCGGTCAGGTGGTGGGAACAGTGGTGGAACGACTTGTTTGGGGATCTCAGTTCTGATGTTCTGAGATTCAGCTTGTAACAAGAAGCTACTTGGTTGGAGGCCATCGCTATTAGGTGGAGGCCATCGCTACTATAGTAACAATAAAGCTTTCTAGTATGTATTGGAACATTTTGCTTGGAATTGTTGCACTCTATTATTCTCTAATGTGTTGGTTGGTGCATTTTGTGGAAGGGGGGTTGATGAGACACATTATTCAAATTGTCAATTGCATCGGAAGCTGACTTGCATGAACATGAGCCTCCAAGCATAATTTGAGTTGGGGGAGCAAAAGGAATCAGGACGGTTTCCGTTGCCCTCTCCCCCTTGACATGTTTTCTTGTGCCCACAAATCAGTGGGTCGCTTTTGTTCCCATTCAACCCCGCTTGAAACAAAAGAAAGAACCGTATCAGGTTAAACCACGCACTACCTGTTGGTTCTCATAAACAGGAAATAACGGTTCAACTGCTGATGTCAATTTGAGCATCTTGATTTCTGGTTCATTCCCTCAAAGCGGATCAACCAACCACTGGCCAGGATGTAGACACTTAGTTCCCAACCGTCGGGGGTTGGCCCTGAGTACTGTGGACGAAAAGAGATGAACATCTCGGACGAAAGATCAGAGCTCACCTCTCATTCAAGCTTAAATCAAATGGTGCTGACGGGTACTTGAAGTGCTGAACAGTTTTACTAAAAGCTTTTCTTGTGTGTGGTGATACTGGACCTATACCGCAAGGTGAGGGTCATGCCCCGTGCGGTATCGTCTCGGCCAGTGGAAGGCACTGTTGTTGGGCACTGTGAAAGATTTCATTTAAGCAACCAGTTGACTCAGTTGTTGTTTTTTCCAAGTCAGTGGACTTTGCAAAGTAACACCACTGGTATTAGTCCTTGGCTTCGTAACAACGAAGTCGGTGCTGAAGATATCAGTTGGTACTCAGGATGATACAAGATAGTAACACCATGTAACACTGGTGTTTTCAGCACCTCCCATGTTGATGCAGGAAGTGGTGGCATCATTGGGAGCCCTGGCTGCATCGACGTGACCAGTGAAGCGAACGAGTTGCGAATAAGGATAAGATCGATGATGTCATGACATGATATTGCAGCAATTTGGGGAGATTTTATTACAGCTTGCCACAATTTACATATTGGCTAGATTGTTCAGGTTGCTGAACTGTAGTACTTCAGCCAGATGATTGACTGCTGAGCACTTGCGAGTTGGGCCCCTGGGGTACTCCCAATCTCGTGCTCTTTGAAGGGCCCCTGGAGTGTACCTGAACACTTTTGAGGTTTTACATGGTTTGAGCAGTGTGGACATCTCTACTTGTTTGTTATTGTATGTTGATTTATTATCTATGTGTGTTGAATGTTTGTCCGGAATCTTTGTCGTGATCCGGTTCTGGACACATTGCTGGTCTTGTCGCCTGCTGTTCGCAGATCTACCCAAATGGGAGCCGAACCCGGGCGCGCGCCTGGACCTGAACCCGGGCCCCTTTTCCGGTCCGTTTCCAAAGCAGGAAGCTCCCGATTTCGTCGCACCCATGGTGCGAGGAGAAGTCCTCCAGGCGCTTCGAGCCGCTTGTGCCCTGGCCTGTTCAGAGCCGGATGGAGCTGGATGGGAGATGGGGAGCTGTCTAGGAGCATCTAGGAGCTGCGTGTTGGCTCAAATGGGCTCAGCGCGAAAAGCATTGAGACAAGTATTCTAATTCCGGTTCTTGATATGATTCATTATGCAAGATACATTAACACGCATGAAAGGTGTCCATGACTATAACTATAACTCTTTCCGTTGCTTTGATTCATAGAGTGCAGGATGTGATGTGTTCGTATCTGATGTGTGTGGGCCTGAATATGGTGTAGTTAGACTTTTATATTACCGTGTTACTCGTTTATACTATATATATAAATTGGTGAAATCATTTTGTCTACTGTATATACATGTGTTATTATTGTTTATTCATGTATATTTTTAACTGGTGAAATGCCTGAATTGTGGGGTCAATGGTGACCTGTGGTTGCGTCAATGATGTACCTGAGCCTGCTTTTGTCTAGGTTGTGTCAGACAGCTTGTGGATTGGGAGGGCCAGCTTGCCCGCTTGGTGACCGGCCTCTTTTGCGGGGATGGAGGGAACGAAGAAAGCAATACTATTTATTTGTGTTTGCTTGTGATTGGTTTTCCTTTCCCTGGATGTTGGCAGCTTTTGCATGGTCTTTTGCAGGCCGTGAAGCCGACAAAAAGCCCTTGCTCAATGACACCACTGCAGAAGCCCAGGCCGTTGAACCAGGTCGTTCACTTGGGTTTTAGGCGTATGCATATTCATTTCAGTCGGACAGCACTCCACCATCAGACATACCCCTTTGCTCCCTGTTTCATTTTCGAAGTCTGTCCGAAAGCACGTGGATTCTACTTGGAAATTCCAGTTCGTTCATCTGCAGATGGCGCCACCATGCACCACCGTCAGTTGGCCAAGTGGCGTCTTTCGAGGAACACCAGGGTGTCACGGCTGTGCCGGCAAGAGTGTTTTGACTCGAGACCGAACCGGTAAGAAGTCAGCACGTCTCATGGAGATGGCGAAGGCAGACATGGAAAACTCAGACCAGACATGGAGACTGTCCTGTGACCGACTACGACAAGAGCGCAACATGGCATCACAGCAGAACTGCATAACCACTTAGACTTTTTAGTGACCTCAGCCACTGGGATCTCAAGTTTGACCACTTCGAAGGTCCTGGAAGAGCTCTGGATCCCCGTTGGCTCCTTTATCCCCACGTTGGCTCCTCCAGCGCCATGTGGCGAACGTGGCTGCTGCTCTCTGTGGCTGGCGGCTCCGGCGAGCGGGTTGTGGAGCCGAATTCCTTGCTGCAAGCGACTCTGCGGGCGAGCGACTCGCCGGTGCAGCCCCTTGGTTCTTTGATGAGGATGAGGACTCAGTGTACAACGAATGAGATCAGATGAAGCCTTTTCGCAGCCTAAGGAGATTCTTTTCGGAAGATGTCGTCCTAGAAAGCAGTGCTTTGAAGTATCTGTTTGTTCAGGTTGTAGTTGCACGCTCGAGACTGTGTGGTTTGCTCGATCCTCGTGGTGCTGGTTGGCCGATGTGTGTATTTGTTGGGAGTCAAGCAGCATGAGGTCAAATGTCATATATATATATATATACCTAGAACCTGATTGACCCATGTTTTGGAGACAAAACATGGTCTTTTCCTATCAAAACAGAGGTCAAATGGGGTCTATATATATTACATGTAAGTACTATATTTGTCGGAAAAGGACTGGCAATGGAGATGTGATTGTACTTGGTTCCCAACTACCGCCATTGCATGTTGTTTGCAAGATATTCTTCTATTTTCCTTGACCTGTCTCCAGAATCTTCGGACATTTCTTGGAGGGGTTCTTCTGGGCAGGGTTCTTCTGGCTGGTTGACTTGTCCACTCGATGTGTCGCCTCACCTAGATTCACTTTCTAAGACTTAATTACTACCAGGAGCCAAACATGAAACAGGCTATCATTGGCCTCCTGCCGCCTTGATGTCTGGTCCACAGAGACCAAGGCCCTCGACCGTCCGCTCCATCGAACCCGGGGAACCGTGGGGATGATCCGAGGCGAATTGGCCCAAAGGAGTGGGTTGGTTTGGGGGAAGCGGTGAGGAGAAGAAGTGAAGGCGCCATGTGATTGTTGAAGATTGAAGTGGAAGTCGCATAGATTGAAGTGGAAGTCCCATAGTGTTGTGCTGCCACGATGTTTGCAATTGATATTTTTGGCCGCAGTGCTATGCGAAGGCGCGACAGGTGCCCAGTTCCGTTGACGAAGAGACAGGCAGCAATCTGTGTAGAGCTGACAAGAAACAGCATATGCAGGGTAGATAGCATTGAAGAACTCCACACGGCATGCTTGCCCACTCCGTGTGGTCCCCACCACCCCGAAACCCTTTGTTGGATTAGGAAAGACAGGGTGGGGTGGTGACCTGAGGTCATTGTTTGAACATTGCTCAGGTTATTGTTTGAGCAAATCTGGGAATTCCATCAAATTGGCTGCGAGCCAACGCAAAGCCAGAACTGTTCTCAGAGCGAAATCTGGGGAACATCCCCGCGGCTCACAGGAGACCTTAGGAATCGTCCACATCGGAAAGACGGGCGGGTCCTCCTTGGACTCCTGGCTGAAGGGGAACATCGGCCGTCGGCACCTGCTCGGCCATGGCATCCACTGTGACATGTCGCAGCTGGGTCGAAGGCTTATGCGGGCCACGTCGGCCACGGGCCGTCAGTGAGGGCGGAAGGAGAGGGAGGGAGGAAGGGTGAGGGGGACAGTAAGTAATACAACGAGAATCGAATGAGGTAGACTCAAGTAATTAGACTCCATAATTAAAAGAAGTTGCTGTATAGCCCTTTTCAGGGCAGTCTTTAAAACGATTGTTCAGGGCTAATATATGAATATATGCGTGTTCATTTGGGTTCGGGATGGGGAGGGTTTGGGAGCTGTTTGAGTGGAGGTTTGCAAATGTTTGGAAAAGACTCCCCAGCAAACACAGGCGACAGACGACCCACCCGTGGCCAAGCAAGGTCCCTCATGCATCCCACAGCACTATGCTGACGCATGTTCACAAGACAGACGATGACGACAGTGAAAGGTCGCCTGTGCATGCGCGCGGAATCCGCATGCGGCAGTGTGATACACATCGGTCCGAATGAGACTTCCAGTGGCACAGTGAGGTACATGGATGCGCAGGCCAAGAAACAGGGCCATCCCGTGCGTGTGCTGAGCTTCCTGCGAGAGCCGGGCACGAGGGCGGCATCGCAAGTGCTCTTCTGGAACACCTTCAAATGGCCGCTCTTTCAGAGGCTTGCAGTGAAGATGGGTGAAACATGCCTGGAGGATGGGATTGGTTGAACATGTTTGAAGCATATGCTTTAGTTGAGAATATACATTTGAGGGGCCCTTGCCCGAACTGGCTGGCACAGATGTTCTCTTGATGTCCAAACCAAAAGGATGACCAAACCACGATGCCTGGTCGTCATCAGTTGCTTTTACAAACAATCCCAGGATCCTACAAGCTCGTCGGTTGCACCAATTGCAACTACACATGAACAAGCTTAACACTTTTAAAACCAGCACTTCATCATGTGGATCCTGCACAGCTGGATTCCCCCATTGTTTGGTCGAGAAAAGCACCATTGGCAAGACGTGGTGTTTTTGGCCGCAAAGTTGCTTCATGAAAGTTGAAAGGTGTTTTTGGTCAGTCATCATCAGTTGCTGAAGTCGAAGACCTGTTCAACTGAAGTTCCTTTACTTTGGTGGCAGAGAGAGTCGAGTTCCTGGACTTCTTGTTGATTCTTTTTGGTACGTTGACAAACATGTCACTTCAATTTGGGGTCTGTGCTCGGCTCGCAGCATCCGAATAAAACCGACTCCTCCCGATCCCAAGGAAGTGGAAGAACTGGACGTTGACGGAAATTATGCAGCTCGGCTCGAATGCTTTGAGTCAACGTCAGGGTTGGGAGCTGTAGCCTTTTTTGATGCCATTTGATGCGTGTGGACATCAATACTGGGCGGGCGCAGAAAGACATAGAAACACTGCTTACTGGAGAAATGATGAAGACCTACCTGGCTGTCAACGGCAATTTTCCATATATAGTTGCAACACAGGTTTCCAACACATGCTAAGTCCTTTATCAAAGAGCCTCGTCAGGCCGTTTCAGAGCCGTCAGGTCGACGACACCTTTTTCGGTCGGTTCATCCCGGACGACGATTGTCAACGGAGGAACGAGGAGAAGGCCTTCCGAAGGTATCACAATGCCTGGGGCGATGGCTTCGGCGGTGTTTGTTGGATGGCTGGCACCTGCGTCAATGGCTGGTACATCCACACCGAACCCAATGGTGTCGTGGCGAATTGTCGGCAGGGTGATCAGGTTGGTGAAGCTGGGCACGAAAGGTGGATGGGGTTTTAGAGGCCACCCTGACTGATGCATGCTGGTGTCCATGTTCTTTTGAATCAGACCATATTGTATACATTAATTATATACCGTATACGGTGTGTATTTTAATAGGGAGACCCTCAAACAATCGGGTTTGGTCTATTTCCCTCCTTCCAGGGGGCCTTTAAAGGTATAACGTATATACTGTATACATCTGTATACTATAAAGTTCTTTGCAGACCTAACACAGATAGTGATGCCCGTGTAGATTCTCGATCTCCGGATTCTCGGGTCGATGCGCGTGCCGCACCGTGCCGGTCCAGCGACTCGCCGGTCGCCGGTCGGCGAGAGACGCGTCGGCGTGGACGGAGGGAAGAACGACACCGAGCAGCTGCGAAGGAAGGAGTTGAACGAGAAGCATCCGCAGGAGAGGGGCAACAGCCTGGAGGGGTGAAATGGGGAGGGTGTTCGAAACCCTGGGCACGGTCGTTTTTAGAGCGGAGCGAAGCAGTGAAGCACATGGCGAGACCTCGCAGTGAGCGTCGGGAGATGTGAACAGACACGGTTCTGTGCCAGATGTGCATTGGCCCCTGCATTGAAGACCATTGAAGTATGTGCGATCAACGTGCTGTTCCTGTTCTTGTTGAATCGGGCCCCTCGCATTGGCGGACCGATTTGGCTGGTGCTTGCCATGTCATCAGTTATACCACTACTGTACCACACAAAAGTCACCGGCACAAATCATCACAAAACACATCCAAGAGCTCAACAAATCACTTTGATTTGGCAACCTGAATCAACCAAGCCCAAACCAAGCCACCAATCTTTCTCATCTAATCCCCTCCCAATGGTCCAGGAGGTGTTGGCAATGGCCAAGGCCAATCTGGAACGGACAGCCTGGTTTGGCATCCTGGAAGATGTCGAACGAGCCATGGAAGAGACGAGTCGAATCACTAATTGGCACATATTGGCACCATAGACTCATTGTACGCCCAGGTGTTGGTTAATTTTGTTTGATGAGTCTATTTAGACCTATATTGGCACAATAGACCTAGTTAGACCCAGGTTTTGGTGACTGTTGTTGAGTTTTTAATAGGTCTCCAAGCTGTGTCCTTAGAGGACTGAAATTGCAGGAATGAATGCAGCAGGTGCTTGCGATACGGAGGGCTGCCTCAAAGATGTTTGACATCATCAGGTGCAGGAGATGACTGCAGGTAGCCTTCGTTCAGGGGCCGAAGCTCCAGTACCGGCACCTTTCCGGGGGCTTCTGGGTGACCCTTCGCTGCTACAGTGATACTGGGATTCCAGTAGAAACTCCTGGGAGGGTCCAAGCAGAGATTGTTGTCCAAACACAACGGTCCAACAGTGGATGATGCTCAACCCAATCTCGAAGAAAGGAAACAAAGGGAACTTAGCATCGTCATTAGCTGTGCTTCTCCATTAGGTGGTTTACACAAGCCTGCCGGATGTAGGGGTGCTAGCAAACCGGGGACTCACGAGCGGATAGTCGCTACAGTCTCGCGTGGAGACTTCCTGCTTTCCAACGAGGATCCATCATGCTACTCCAATGGCAGCTGGGGAACAACTACACAGATGCTCAGCAAGGTTTACTTGAGTTTGGCAGACACCTGGTAGAACGACTGTAGAAATTCCTGTCTTATGCGTTCGTGGTTTTACAAACTGTTCGAGAGGCCGGCTGCGACCTATGCGCAGCCTAGAGATTTTTATGACGCAAGGGGAAGCGTGAATTGTCTCAACAAGTTGGGAATCTACAAACTCCTGAGACACGATGATTGTTATATAATTACAATTTTGTATACATTCTTTGGAGAAAGCTTAGTTTCAGCAACTTAGCTCAGTGGCATCACACAATTTCCATGGGTTGGTGTCCTCAAGCATACAAGTGATTAGCAACGCTAGTTTTGGATAGTTTTGGTACTATCGGGTTCCCTAGTTAAAGACCGAACACAAAAGGTCCAAATGCAGCATGCAGAATGGATGGCATGCAGACTTATTTGACCATGTGTTATCAGGATCCAATATATGCTCGCCAGGTCTTGTTTGCCCTATGTGAAAGCCTGGGTCAATTCTCTCCAAAGCACTTTGCTTGAGCCATTGAGCAAATTGTGGCGATGGAAGCAAGCTCAGCTAATGAATGAACAGGTCTTTTGCAGCAGTACAATTCAGCCAAAGCCCATGACGACTTGTTTGGAGAATGCTTGGTGAACAGCACTGCCAGGCATCAGCTCCACACAGAATTTTTGCGTTGTTGCTCTTGTTGCCTCAATGTCAATCTTTACCACACCATGTATTGTATACCTAGGTTACATTGACCCTCAAGACATCTTAAAGTCACCACCAATGTGGGCAAATATTCCAGCCCATGGATTCTTAGACGGTTTGTTGATACACAAAGCCCATTGGATTTCTCTACTCCCAGCTCACCTTCCTGATCACCGGCCCAATTGGCAACGACACGGCCAACACGAATGAGGGCTTCACCGAGCACAACGTGAACCGGAATCCTCATGCAAAGGAGGTGACCGAGGAAGATTTGCAGAGGATGAGAAAGCTGATTCCACTCGAAGCTTGGAGTTGAAGACTGCTGGGCCATGTTTCATGGTGAACACCATAGATGAAGACTTCGTGAAATGCATGGCCTCAAGATGGTCACTCACACCCAGCTTGCCGAGGAGATAGGGCCCTGCTCCACCAGTTGAGAGAGGGCCTTTCTACAAGCAGAGGAAACCGCAAGATGTGTTCAACGTGATCTCCACGTCCTAAAATTCGTTACGGACTGGGGAGAGGACTTCCGATCTACCTGTCCCATAGAAACAAGCCTTTTCTTGGATCCACAGGAGAAAATTCACTATGTTTCAGATTGCAGCACCATAAATTGCGGAAACAATGAGATAAACACTAGACCATACATATATATATATACTTACATAGCTGCTACATCCCCTCAGTCAGAGCACTCACTCATACTTGGGCTTTCGCCTGTCACTGTAATCAGGGAACTGGTCGGGGGTCCAAGGACATGGAGCTCTACCATTACGCCCAGGTTCGTGCGATGCGGTGTCGTGCAGATGTGGGTATCCGGCCGCTCAACGGACGCTAAATAGATCGGATCAGCGAAAAGGAGTCGCTCAATGGATCGACGGCTTCGTTCATTGAAAGTGGCTTCGTTCATTCAATGGGAACGGATGAAGGGAATAGATGACATCATATTTGCACTTCCACGTCCATATGTTTGTCTTCAAACTTGAGGAACGGATGAAGTCCAACCATCTTGACAAATCGTCAAGTCTTCGAGGGATCTTCAATTCTTGAGGTTGACATTGTCATCCACTGTTGAAACCTTGTGGCAATTTGTGGCACTTTGGGTTGTCATTTTTGTTTGCTTCGCGTTGGTATCTCACTTCTTTGCTGTCTTCGGCGTTGCTTTCGGTTTCACCGGAGTCAGTAGCGAGAAAAGCACATACCCCTCCAAAATGCTGATAAATACTGTGGGTGTCCGCATTCTTGGTCAAACATGGTCAAACGATTCTCACCGTCAACGTCCGGGTGCCATCCGCCATGATGCGCCATCGGTCAACCCGAGAGGAGCTCTTCGAACGACGCTGGGCCGCCAGTGGCCTCTCCATGCCCACAGACACCCCCGACAGAAGCGCTGGTGTCACTGGTGGCCATGGCGTACCATTATTCCCTCAGAGAGTGCCTGTGGCCCGGCAAGAAAAGCACGTTAAGCGCTGGTGTCATTGAGGGCTCGTCCAGGCACCAGGAAGATCAGACGTCAGGATTTGGTGAACTTTGTTATTGCCAATGGAAACAGGAAACACATCATTTGTGCAAAGCTCCCATCAAGGACTTAGAGACCTGCAGGGTTTTGCTGTTTGTGTTTTTGACCATTTGGCACATGCGTTGCCCATGTATAGCGTTTTTCGACAGATTTGTGGTCCCCAAGGGGATCCACCGTTCCGTTGTTAAAGCCACAGCAAAAACATGTTCAATGCGTTGTGTGTTGTTGTTTGTTTGTCTAAATTGTGTATATATATATATATCACCTTAAAATACTTCAAATCACTGCACTGTTAATATAGTAATGGTTAGGAGCCCCTTGACCGGGCGCACAAGACCAATAGCGTTGAGACCAAACATCATCATCAACATACGGTAGAACTGCACACATATATATGATTAGATCGTATATTACCTGTTGATGTCAACGTTTCATTGATTGACATTTTCGAGAGAACCCACAATGACACCAGATGGAATCTTCAGCCCTCCAGCTGCCCCGCCCTTGCAGGCCGCCGAGCTTCAGATCGAATCCTGGATCGACAGTGCGGCTTCCGCGGAGCCTCCGTTTCCGCCCGGAGCCGCGGCCGCAGTAGACTTGGACGCGACAGTCGACGCGACGGTCGCGTGGTTTTTCGCGCCAACATAAAGAATGATGCAACAAGAAAGGGAACTGGTTGGAGCTACCAAGAAGTTCCCTAATCTTGCAAAATTAAATATAGCTACCTAGATCTTCCATGTGTGTATAATTTTAGACCCTAAGGTATGAAAGCGCCTCTGGAAGCTAAGGTCCAGAATATCTGACCCTAAGATCTAAGGGGCAGAAGTTGAATATTGCTCATGTTGACTATTTTGTTTACCAATCTGCTCGGTTGAGTCCACCTCGTCGGTGCCCCGGACGGCTCAGGCAGCCCATCGAAGGGCAGGGCGAACACACTGTGAAAGATGCAAGTATCACATGGAAAATCTGCAGGTCTTCGGTTTTAACGGACTACAGGAGTTAATGAACATTACATTTAATTTACATCCTTCCAATACCTTGCCATGGTGGGGGGGGCAACCGCCTCTCATTCGATGCAGGCAAGAGTCAGAGTCACGTGTTTCTTTACGCTCTGCGACATGGTCAAAGTGAGAATGGACCATCAACTACGAGAAACTGTCAAGTGCTCTAATCAATCGAATTTGGAATCCATCTATAGCTATTTGATGGGGGTTCGCGTCTGCTGCAGGTACGGTATAGCTGCCAGAAGCTTTGAAGAAGCTTGCAGGTCTGTCTGGCATTGTTCAGTGCCAGTGAAACAAATCATGTTTGCAGCGCTGCCTGCAAGAGTTGATTGTATTTTTGGGGGTATAAACTCTACTGTGGGGGTGCAAGCATTTAAGCATGCCATTATTCCAAAGTATCGATCGATTCATCCACTGCAGCCCTTTTTTTGTGCTGCAGCGGGAACGCTCATTGGACCTCATTGGTCAGCTATGGCCTGCAGCTCGAAGGACCTGGGCAAGTCCGAGGGTGACCATGGGTCTTTGGCGGAGCTTTGGGAGGACAACCGCTACATTAGGAAAAGGCTCAGGGAGAACGATGGGAAACTCATCCAATGGGTTTCCCCTGAGCTGACTGGGAAACCGACTATGAGCTCCATTGCATTGAATGTTCATGCTCTTCGTATTCTGGCCCAGTGGTGGTGCCCGACACAAGACTCATGTAAGAGCCCCAGTGTTGGGATGTTGAAGCATGAGGCTGGGTGGTCCCAATTGTATATGTTCTTTCCATTTCTTTCCCCTGCAGCCCATGTTTCAAGGCAACCTGCCTTTCAGTGTTGGACATTAAAAGTGCCCTGCCAGGTCTGCAAGCTGAGGGCAAGCATGCAGTTACCTATGAACCCAACAGCGATCCAATCTGATGGGTGGGCCTTGAAGAAGCTCTTTACATACGCTTGTAGAAAGTCTGGAAGCGACAAAGACCTCACCTCGACTCCAAAACGTCGTGACCTTTGGCTTTTGAATTATGGGTCCATGGTTGACTCAAAACAAGGTTGGGGAAAAACCTACTGAAGTTCAGGATGTTAATATACTTTCTCTAGCTTAAAACTTTTATACGCTTGTAGCCTTTGCCATTCTGTCAGGAAATGGGCGTCAATGCTTTCTATGATGAGCTCTTCAGCCATTGGAATGTGCGCCTTCATCCTCGCCAGGTCGTTCCAATCGTTGTTGAGGACTCGGACGATGAAGCTACAGACTTTACACACTTCATGGTTGCTGTGAAGAAGGATCCCTATAGCCTCCCTTCTCCAGAGAAGGCAGGGCATTAAACAACTAAAGTGGAGAGAAAAGGACTTTGGAAAAAACACTAAAGTCAGTTGATATATAGTTGGCACATATTCGCAAACATGTTCAAAAAAGAACCTCCTGCAGGTCGCTGAGAATGAAGTTGAGGTGGTTCAGGAGACCCCTATGAAACAGGAGATTGCGGAGTGCAAGGTAGATAGCCACGCTGGGGAATGTCTTGCAGTGAAATCGGAGCAGCCTGGTCAGGATGCTGCATGTGCATCAGGCCATATGGAGCATGTTGCAATGGACAGCGAGTCTGCCGAGAAGCCAGAGTCTAAGGAAGAGATGTCCATTGCTGACATTGAATCGCGGATGCGGCAGCTTCGGTGTCTTGGATCTTACAGTAAACTTCTTCATGGGATAACATGTGTACAACATGTGTGCACCAAGGTTTAGCAATGTTTGGTGCTAGTACTAGCCAAGGCTAGCCATTGCCTCCAGGGCTTCATCTCAAGTCGTTGCTGACAACGTGGAGACCCAGCCTCTAGAAGTTGCTGTTGCTGACACTGTTGCCGAATCGCTTGAGAAGTCCCAGAAGAAGGAATTTGTGGAGATCCAGGAGAAGGCTGATGACTCCACACTCAAGCGTTCTTTGCAGCATCAGTTTTCAGCTGCAGCAGGCCAGTTGTTGGTTAAAAATTGATGTTTGTGATCGGTCTATTGTACAACCAGCTAGGGTTGTCTTACGAAGGTGTTCTTTGATTCCTGCAAGGAGAGTTTGACTCCCAGCTCGATCACATGGCGGATGACTCTCAGCTCGATCCCATGGTGGATGCTGACCGGATCCCACCTGAGCCTGAGCAACCAGCGGTGCCCAAGGACCTGCCTGAACAATCAGAACCATGCAAGCGTGAGCTGCAGCCTGTGCTTGGCAATGCTGAACCTGGGCAAGTAGATTTGCGCAGCGATGAGCCTGGATCAAGCTCGTGCCAACCAAAGATGGAGTTGTCTCACCCGGAGGTAGCTGAGGCTCAACTTTGCAAGGAGGAGGCCACTGGCAAGTGCGAAGATGAGCCAAAGATGGAGCTGCCCAACCCACAGGTAGCTGAGGCTGGCGACGGCAAAGAGGCAGTGGAGGTTCAGGAGCAGCCAGAAGAGGTGGATGACCTTCCTGAGGAGGAGGTGGCTGCAACCGATGCTGATATCGAACCACCAGTGATTTCAAGATTGGAGCAATGGGCGGAGAAGCCACTCCCAAAGCCCAAGCGCAAGGCGGCTAAGGCGAAAGCAAAGCCTGCTCCCAAGCGCAAGGCGGTTGAAAAAAAAACCAAGTCGACTGGGAAAGGCAAGGGTCGCGGAAAAGGAAAAGCCAGCGGTGATAGTGCCATCATTGATCTGGACAGTGACAACGAAGAGGAAGCTGAGGAAGCTGGTCAGCCCAAGCCCAAGCAGCCTGCCAAGCGGAAGGCAGATTCACAGCCAGAGGCAGTGAAGGATCTGCTTGAAGATGACCCTGAATACGTTCCTTTTGGTGCACTCTCTGCAAGTGGCATTGCTGCTGCAGCTGCCGCTTTTGGGTGGCCAGTGAAGTCAGTGGCAGAGAAGCCTGGGGCGGGAGAGAAGACTGAGGTGGAAGGCACTTCCAAAAGGGCTCGCAAACCCAGAGCCTGCAAGACCAAACCAGCTGAGGCTGAGGCCCAGGATCCAAACCAGGGCCAAGCTGGCGAGCAGTGTGCAAAAAGCTTTGCAAGGAGGAGCTGCCCCAAGACCTCCCCTGCCAAAGAGAGATGGCTCGCAGTTCGCGATGTTTTTGAAAAGGACCTGAAGCCTTTGCTGCAAGGATTGAACTTTGCACTTTCAGCTTGGGAGGCTAGGTGGTTAAACAAAGTGTTCAAAACGGCGATGCCAAATCCCTCGCTTAAGGTGTAAATATGTTTGCTTAACTTGAATTTTTGGACCAATGGTCAAATGGCCAACCGCGCAGGTTGAATGGTGGGATTGGTGCTCTGCTGCTGTGGACCACAGCGTGCGCAGCAAGGACAAGAGGTGTGCATCGGTCCATGACGAGGCATTGCGAGCGGCTGTGGCTCTTGAGGCCAAGAAATTCGCAAGGGAGAACTGCATCAGTGATTCTTCTGAGTGGCAGTAGTGGCTTCTCATGATTGCCAGGGATGATTGAGCGGTAGCTGTGTCAGTTTACTTCCTGATGCCCCACTGTTTCTGGCCTGTCGGATTGTTTCACTGGGTTGTGTTGAAGCATTTCAAAGTCTGTTGGACTGGGTGGGCGCGCAGGATGGTTATCTTAATTACACTCCCGTTGTGCTTATACCAGCGGGTGCAAAGCTTGATCGTGTGTTTTAAACACATGGTAGGGTGCGCATGTTCAGTTTCAATTCACTCAAGAACAGCTGGCAGCAGTTTCGGAAAAATCTTACATCAAAGTCTGCTATGACCTGTTGGTGGTAAGGAAATCATGAACCGTTCTTTCCACCCTGCCTGCAGAAATATTGCATAAGGTACCACGCGTGATGTTGAAACATGTATTCGTGATATGAAGTCTGTTCACCTGAAACCGATCGCTGCCAGGTTGACTATGGGAGCTCATGTATGGTGTGAGAAGGGGGTGCATCAACCTTGCCAAGTTTGGCATTGAGACGCATGCGCAAAGCAATGCTGGCCTGGTTGCTTTCCGACCGGGTCGACTGTGTGTTATTGAGATGTATTCCATTTCATGTTTTCTGATTTTCACAACTGTTTCTGGAACTCCTCAGTCACAGGTCTCAAAAAGAACCAGAAAAGATATACCTTTGCATGCGCAGTGTTCTACAATTCATAAGTTCAAAACAAAGTTCACTCCGGCACGGTATCCCGCCATGACCCCTGCCCAATTCGATCTGCTTGTCAAGCGACTCATTCTCATGAAGACACCAAAAGCGGCTTGGCAAGCAAGATGCAACTCCTCAGATTCAGATGCATCACCTCAAATCCAAACCTATAGCTCAGCCCCAGGTGGTGGTCATGCTAGTGCTACTGACGTGGTGGCTTGATTTGCCTAAGCACCATGACTACCAAACGCTGGAATTCTTTGCTGGCGTTGGTCGCATTGCGGCCATGTCGCAGTTCTGTGGCTACCAAAGTGCAGCGGTAGACATTGAGTATGGGAAGCCTGGTGGGAATGCCCGTGGTTCACGACATCCTATGGATTTGAACTCAAACGCTGGCCTAATGCTTCTAGCCTGACAGAGTTGTTGTGTTGTATTGTTTGGTTCCAATGTCTCTGAACATGCGAGCCTATACATGCAATCAT